ACGTCTATGCTCAGAAGCAAGCGTTACTGAAGAACAGACTGACAGACTCATTAAATTTTGACGTTTTAAAAGTACATGGTACCCATTTATGGATTAGTTGGAATAAAAAAAAATGACTTTGACTTTGCCATCCCTAGATCAAAGTAGTTTAAGAATAGAACAGTTACGTTCGTAACCTTTTAGGCCGGTTATAGTGCTCCACCGACCGTCAGTACGTACGGTCTGTCCTGACGATACGCTTGAACCGACCGTCAGTTTCTATCATTCAGTGCTCTCCTGACCAACAAACTGACCGGACTGGTACAGTCGCACGCAATGGAACCGTTTACGAATTGTTTAGTTGCTGCTTATTATCTTCGTAGACGTTTTAAGAATAGAAGAAGACGTAGATATCATGTACACCCTATCGTCGCCCAAAGAACATTACGAGGGGAATTCACTACTATATATTCATTATTGCGCGAAGATGAAGAAAAGTTTTTTAATTACTTCAGAATGTCGATCAAAAGTTTTGATGAATTATCAGCGAAGTTACAAGACTACTTAAAACATGTAAACTTATTTCGAGCTCCTGTATCACCGGTGGAAAGACTTGCAGTCACTTTAAGGTATGTAACTATGTCTATATTACAGATTACAAAAATGTAGATATCAATTTAAATATATTAATCCCATTCCACTAATTACTAACCCTATTAATCCCATCCCACTAGTATGATAGAGATATATGAGACTCAATAACAAAATAATGTTTAAAATAATCATGATTTTAAAATACCTTAATTACAAAAAAATCACAGTTTCTTATTTAACTATTATTATTTAAAAATAAAAATTCAGTTTTGTTTAAATACAACAAGGTCAGAAAAATCTGTTTGCTCTACGTTGGAATTGGAAACCATAACAGGCAGCATGTTAGGATAAATATTTGTGAGAAGCTGTTCCGATTCTTGTGCAGTAATATTGTTTGATGTTTGTGAATGAGATGAATAGGACTCTGGTGACGTGACGAAGTATGTCGTACTGGAAGACTGGGACTGGGGACGACTAAGAGCATTGTCACCATCATGAATCTTCGTAGCTATTTTTAGTACTTCAGAACGAAAAGTCAACTTTTGACTAATAGAAAATGAGTTAGTAATTGGTAACAGCGATGTGAAAAATGCCATGTCATCATTTTGTAGTATTGTACTATTCTCTTTAAACATTTGCAGCATCTGTTTGTCAAATTCAAATTCTTCTTTATTTATAGACCTTTTAGATTTTGTAATTCGTCTATTTTTTTTATTTTGACTTGTCTGGGATGCAGGCTCAGTATTTTTTTGTTCGAAAACTCTAGTGTCAAAAATAGTGCTTGTCGAAGGTTGTGGCTCGGGCTGGGGCTCGGGCTCAGGCTCAAAGTCGGGCACCGAAATATTTGTCTGGGAATCATCTGCCATTAGGGAGTCCTCGACTTGGACTGTGTGTTTCTTGTCGAGAAATCTCATATGATCGTAATATATATATACTTTTTTTTTATCGCTCCGCCGCCAGATCCGGACTTTGTATTAATAATTGCAGCTTTAGACCTTGTATACGCATCCCGAGCTGTTCTCCATCTCTGTTGTATAGTTTTATCTGTAACATAAAAGTAACTAAGCTTATTTCTTTCTTTCAGGTACTTAGCTACTGGTCATACATTCACAGACTTGCATTACAGTTATCGTCTTGGGGTGTCAACAATCAGTTTTATCGTTAAGGAGGTGTGCAAAACAATATGGGAGATTCTTCGTGAAGAATGTCTTATGTTGCCAACATCGCCTGAGGGGTGGCTTCATATCATCAATGAATTTAACGAAATAGCAAACTTTCCAAATTGTGTTGGATGTATAGATGGCAAACATGTGAGAATAATCAATCCTGAACACAGTGGAAGTATTTATTCCAATTACAAGAAATTTTTTTCAGTTGTTTTACTTGCTATATGTGATTGTAACTATCGTTTTATATACATTAACGTCGGTTCATGTGGAACCGACTCTGATTCTACCATATTCAAAAACAGTAATTTGTTTCAAAAACTACAAAACGAAGAAATGTGTTTTCCTCCCCCCAAACCATTGCCCCATACGACCGAACCACTGCCATACGTTATTGTCGGGGATGCGGCATTCGGTATTTCAAAACAAGTGTTACGACCTTATGCACGTAGTAACATGACTTACAAAAAGAAAATATTAAACTACAGACTTAGTCGTGCAAGGAGATATATCGAATCTACATTCGGCATAATGAGTAACAAATTCAGAATATTCCACAGACCTATGAACACTTCCTTGGAAAACACAATTACAATCATCAAAGCTTGTTGTATTTTACATAATTACATCAGAGAACGAGATGGTTACAAAATAGAGGATACATTAACAATTGCAGGATTTGAACCGCTTACCCACGGCAGTGACAGTCAAAGACATAATATCAGATCAGGGGACATGTTGAGAGAAAAGTTTGCTAATTATTTTATATCTCCAGAGGGTGCTGTGTCTTGGCAAAATAATAGTATTTTTTAAATTATTTGTATGTCTCGAAATAAATAAATAAAGATGAAGATAGTTTGTTTATTACTTACCTATATCTTTTTGTTCGGTAAGAGTCATTTCATCGAAATTAGGAAACAATGCTTCACACACTTCTTGCCAAGCCTTTAACTTTGCATCACGGTCTTTATACAAAACGTGGCTTATGTTCCAGAGTGGTTCACGAAGCCGAACTTCGGTGATTAATCGTTCGGTGTCGATAAATTTGTTCATTTTGAGTACCTACGAAATAATTTCTCGTCGACGATGATACGCACATCCGTGCGGTCGGTCCACCGGTCGGTGCAGCACTGAATGCGTTCATATGTTTCCATAGCGCGTCGGTCGACCGACGGCACGCATGCGGACGCGCTCGACCGACGGTCCTCGTACGCAGTGCGTAGCAATATATGCGTGCGTACGGTCGGTCGAGCACTGTGACGACTTGTGAAATTTCATACAAATGAGAAGCGCGACCGATGTACGCACCGACGGTCGGTCGAGCACTAAAACCGGCCTTTTAACCACGATGAGAAACGGTAGGTAAGCTATTTTAATTTTATATTTTGCTACGTCATCGTGACAAATGTCATGATAAAAATCTTAAAAAAAAACTTCCCATTCAGCCTCTCACAAAGGAGTTTCCTGGTTCATAACGTTCTTTGTTAATGCTCCTGACAATATAGCGGGGAGTAGTCATTGTCACCAACTCGTGGGCGATGCGCCTGACTCTGACATCAGATTTTGTAAGTGAACACAGTAAACGACATCTTTACATCTTGGTTCGCGTTTGTGTAATCGAAATTCTTGAACGAAACTTTGTAGGCGGTGGGCCGGTGGTTCTACCTATTTGTATTGTGAAAGACGGATATGATATATGATAAAGTTTAGTATAAATGGGACCTATTGCTAAATAATACCGTGTTTACCTACTCCGTGTACACAGGACACCCACGTAGGTATTAAGGGTTATGGATTGCACGTGAAAAATACGTAGCCAATTATTTTATTGAAAATAACGACTTATTCATATGAATAAACTGAGAAAAGCTCTACTAGTTTCAAGTGACAACGGGACGACGAGGCGCACGCTGCTCATGATTGAGTCAATACGGTATATTATTATATCAAGATAATTACTAGTACCCTATATATGTTTTTATTTATAAAACCCAAATCTTCTACTACCTACATGGATCACAAGGTAGTCCTGCTTGGGCTGAACACCGCGGTGTGCTCAGGAAGTGATCGGCAGCGAGGACTTCTCGCGCCCGGGCCTTAGTCGAGGCCATGGTGCGGTGTAATTGGGAAGTCAACTTCGCTTTTCGTGAAGGAGTTATGCTCGCAAAAAAAGGAGGCAGAGTGTGTGAGCGAACTATCCTCCTCCCCACGCCCCAGCCCCCGCAGTAGGCGACATTCCGGGCGTCGAGGATCGAGAGATAATCTCCGGCTACCGTAAGTGCGAGTCTGCGGTCTTCGAGTAAGAGCAGGTCGCCGCTTGACCGGAACCAGACCCGAGCGTACGACGCCTAGCGTTCTGGGCACGCCTCAAAAACCCAATAGGCCACCAGAGACGGGGCTCTACATGGCTGATGTTGTTTAGCAGAGGTTGCGGGGAAAGCGGAATGTGGCACCGCGGCTTCGGCTTAAAGCAGGGAAAGGAACGGGGCCGTTTTTAATCAGTAAGAGTCTGACACTTTCTATCGCCTAACCCCGGGCGGAAAAGTAACTTGATGATTTCCCTTGACAAAAAAAGGCACTAACCGCACACCCCTCATGACGCACGCAGTAGTCTCTACAGTCTACATTTCTAAATCACGAAACCACCAGTGACATTTCTTACTCACTTAAATTTGTATTTTCTACCCGAGTTCTTCGTATCTGCTACCACCGATGGTAGCAGATACGAAGAACTCGGGTTCTGTACCAGACCTAATTTAAACAGGGGATTTTACACTACAATTTTTGATTAGTTTTGGGGTTTAAATTTAGTTGCGAGAAAAAAAGACCACCGAGTTTTCATTGTAGCACGGCCAGGTAATCGAATAAATAATTCCAACCAACCCATTTAAAAGTTTTCTTGTAAGCAGAATGCGTGCCATTCGAAATAGCAATAGAAAATAATATGTTAGCAGAGCACAGTTTTTCTACAGCTAGTGTAAACTTACTTTGTAAATGCGCGGCAGTTGTCAGTTTGCTTGACACAACTGGTTTCGTTCAAAACCTCGTAAAGCCAAAAACTAAATATTAAAACTTAATTAAGAGTACCGTTTGCAAGAAAATATAAAAAATGTTTTAATAGAAACTCGAACTATTTATTAGTAATTAATGAATAATAATGATCTCAAATCTTAGTGAAACTAATGTATTACGACAATAATATTTTTTTAGTCATACCTGAACTGTCGTTATTATTGTCATAATACGTCAATGTCAGCCAACAACAATTCGACTTTTCTCAGTCTGTAAACGGACTTTGTAGGAATACGTTACTATAGCTATAAAGTTCTGAATGTAATGTAAATATTGATTATTTAAGACTTTATCACGATAAGGTATTTCAAGGCTAAGGTTGAGATATGTCAGAATATTAACCATTCAGTCGGTATTAATTATTTGAATAATTTATCAGAATTATACGAAAGAAAACAAAATCGTTTTCATAATGTTTCTATTAAAATTTCGAAAATGATTACTGAGTCACGATTTAAGTGAATTTCCCGCGTGAATACGTTGTATTAATGACGTGTTTTAAGTTCGTTTAGTTTTTTGTGGAACTATTTCAGTGAAGTCGTGTTTCTTGTGAAGTTTTAATTGAAAATGGATAAAGTAAAGCTGTTCTGGTCAAAAACTAACCGCTGGCATAGAGGTACGTACAGGAAATAATAAACCATAACTTAACAATACATCTTAAACAAAGAAAGAAAAAAATTAAAGAAATTGCTTCTAAATAAATAAAAATAATTTCCTTAAAAGTTTTAGTTGTTAAATATTAATTGATTTTTTTTTTCAATTATGTGAGTGTTCTGTTTTCCTATTGATCATCAATTTTATGGCCATAACTATTTTATCACACAGCGACTTGAATCAAAACTTAATTAAGTATTATTAATTATTTTTGTATTTAATATACTCCTGCTTAGATGTCTTATCACCCTCAAACCTTTAAGTACAGTAATATATTTTGTGTCTGTGATGCTGTATAGATCTATGGGCAAAACTGTTGATTACTAACTATTTATCCGTTAACTTGGCAGTATGTTTGCCAACTTATTCTTTAAAAAAAATATAAGCAATATTTAAAGTTTATGTTCGTGATATATTGCATGTTTAGTAGAAAACAGATCTAACTCGTCAAAGAGGGTATTTCAAAATTGAACCTTATAGTTAAAATGTAAATTTTAGTATTACAATACCTTCTTTGTTTAGTTAGGTCGTTTTTCTATTATATTAAGCCTATGTTTCTATTTTTACTAATTATTATTACTTTACTACCTAAGAACCTTTTGTATACATAAAACATATGTATAGATAATGATGTGATTAGAATGTAATATTTGCATTACTTATATAACATTATGATTAATTATAAAATATATTTTAATAATTATTTATTAAAAGAAAAATATTCACCTACTTAATGGTACACAACATTACAACATTATTCACAATATTTTTGCATAATGTACAATGTATTATCATTCTAAATACATTGAAATTAAGTTATATATATAATACAAAACAGCATGTTATTGGTACATTGTAATAAATATGTAAGTAGATAAAATATGCCTTACAAATGAAATGTTTTTTTTTTGTTAATTTTCTTTGTCATAAAAATATAAAAAAAAACCTAGCACATTATGACGTTATTGTACCAACTATGGGACTCTTAGCATAGTTAATTATAAGAAATATCTGTGATTAATATTAATTATTGTTTCTTAACGTAACATCGGCATTCTGTAGTTTGTAACATTTCGACGGTTGTTTTTGTGCGCACAACCTCTATGGACAGTCAGGGGTCAAAAATGCAATTGCACTCTACCAATTTTAAAATGATTAAAATATCTTTGTAGAATAGAGTCAATGGTTGAAGACTGCTTTAATTTATAGCATAGAATCTAAATTATTGAATAAACTGGCTGTCAACCATTGAACTTTTACTACAAAGAAATTCTAGTAATTTTAAAATTGGTAGAGTGTAATTGCATTTTTGATTCCTGACTGTACATCACCGGTGACTAACAGTAGCATAGGATTTGCCTAAAACTTAATATAATATTTGTTTTTATTATTCCTTGATGTGATAATTATGTTTTTGATAGTACATGATGGTTATTTGGTTAGTCGCTCCCGTCATTTGACTACCTTCCCTACACTGCCTACCCTACTGTACCTACGCTACTCTACCTACCCTACTATACCTACGCTACTCTACCTACCCTACTATATCTACACTACTCTACCTACCCTATTCTACCTACCCTACTCTACCGACCCTACTCTATATACTCTACTCTACCTACCCTTCTCTACCTGCCCTACTCTACCTACCCTACTCTACCTACCCTACTCTACCTACCCTACTCTACCTAACCTACACTACCTACCCTACTCTACCTAACCTACTCTACCTAACCTACACTACCTACCCTACTCTACCTAACCTACTCTACCTACCCTCCTATATCCTTCTCCTGGCTCTAAACTACCGCCCTGCCAATTTTCTGTTAAATCGGTTCAGCCGATTTTGAGTTATAAGTGGAGTAACTAACACGAATTTCTTTTATAATATGAATAAAATATGCAAGTTTTAGAGGCTGTTCTGATTCGCGCCTCAAAGAGGTTTTGTCTGATACTCCCCTTCCACTTGTTTAGTGTAGCACCGGTCCAGAGCAATTGGGACTGGTTTTTAGTCAACCTGACAATCCCAATTTATTTTGTAAAAATAACTTGCTTGAGCAGTAGCTGTTGAAGCAAATATTCATTAGACTAGATTGTTTGTTAGCCAGCGAAACTAACCGAATCCCTCCCAAATCCCTAAATCTCCAAATCCCTAATCTTCAAGGAGTTGGCAACACACCCGTAACTCGTCTGTTGTTACAGGTGTCCATAGGCGACACTGATTGCTTACCATCAGGTAATCCGTCTTCGCGTTTATCGACCTATCTATCATATAAAACAAAAAAAATTGTGAACTAAACGAAAACATAATATATTATAAACCTAATCTACCTATAATGTTATCAAAATCAAATGAATCTGAATCATATCGGTACCTCGTTGTCATATTGCTTTATAATACTGACATAACAAATTATTGTATATGTATAAATCATGCATCTGACTCATTATCAAAAAATCTTTCTCTTGTTGAAATTATTGAAGTTTATTTCATAACATTGTTTAATGCTTATCAGAAGAATTGAAGTAAAATTAAAGGAAATTATTGAAAGTAGCAATTGATATTTAGCGCCTTTTTCATACTTAGGTACCAACCTAATACTTATTTAAAAAAAATTGTGTTCTATATTGAAATCTATCTGGTACTTAAGTACCAACAGTGTACGGTTTAAAGTGTGGGAGAGCCATGCTTCGGCACTAATGGGTCGGCTCAACCGGAGTGATACCACGACCTCACAAAAAACCGGCATAAATACATTCAATCCATTCACCGTGTTAGTGAGGTTGCCGGAGGTCCAGGCTTTCCGCTTGGAGACTGGAATGATGTCCGAAATGAACCTCTTGTTCCATTCGACCAACAACAAAGTCACTAACTACTTAAATACGGTATGTGAGAAGTATTTTTAAAGTTTTTTCAACATACTTCCTCACGTACGTTTAAACATTTGAAGTCCAAAAAAAAGCAACCCCATTTTTTTAGTCTATGGCCGATGCACGCGCATTTAAGAACTGATTAATTTTCCCGCCATTAAAAAACATTTTTCACAACTCGTTTCGTTTTCTCTTTTAAAGTTATTTTGGTTTTTTGTTTAAGTAGGTATTATTTCATTCAGAAGTATTTTGAAAAACGTCGTATGATATACGTGTAATGATGAGTAGGTATCGTCATCGGCTCCTTAAGACCCTCGCCTGACGACTCGGGTTTCGTTGCGCCTTAGCGGTAGTCACCAACATTACACACTTATACCATAATGTATCTATACTATTATTCCATACATTTGTGGAAACAATCCTATGTAAACAAAGCCTTATAACAAGCATTGAACGCTAAACTACTCATAATTCATTATTGTTCGGCACTTATACGTATATATATGTATTGCTTGCAGTCGTTTGTGATAAAAGATACGCTCATTTCGAATGACGTAGGCTCATACACATATGCTACAGATTGTATGTATATTTAGATACTTAGAGATTACGTACATGTGTAATCTACTTAGGTATTATTAGATTTTTTCCCTGAAATGTAAATGTAAATAAGGGAACGTATATATTATGTCCTCTGCTTCCTCATTCGCGTCGGAATCGGAAAATTCTGTCAAATTAGGTATTATTTTTCTTTTCACTGCACGGTTGGCGCGGTAGCTGCTAGGCTACCGCGGGACGTGTCGCGGGTTCGATTTCCGCACGGAACAATTCTTTGTGTCATCCACAAATTTTTGTTCATAGTCTGGGTTGTTTCCTTCATGCACTAAGAGCACCAACACATGAAAGGTATCCCGGTTTCTCTCAATAGATTAACCGCAGGGGGTCATACTTCTCCCTTAAGCTTTGCTGCGTGCACCTTCACGAATCCACTACCTATGCCTGTACAGCCTTCATCCCTGAGGCTACCTGATGAGATTTTGCGTCCCACATTATGCGTCCCAACTGGAGCGATGACGGGGCCCCATAGGGCTGCTGTTCAGCCGAGGTTGCGGGATAAACGCAACGTGTCACCACGGCCTCGGCCCATAGCAAAAGAAGGAACGGTTTTTAGTCAGTCTGACACTCCCACTCGCCCGACCGTGGGCAGGAGAAGTCATTTGATTATTTTCCCCTCGCAGTAACAATGCGTCCCAAAAGTACCTCTACAAGTGAGTAGTGCTAAAAGTGCGCCTGCGGGGAATTCTAATTACAAACGCAGTGCCAATTTGCCGTTGTAAGTGTCCCAATCCTGTTCGGGTACTCATTTAAGCATCTCTGACCATTACTCAAGTCGTTCTGAAGAAGACTCCTCGTCTCTCAACTAGTTAATATTCGAAAAACTACGTAATATTTATATTGTAACTAGTTGATAGATCGTGAAATATAACCCGTTTCACAGTCCATGTCAAATTTTCATTAGTGAGATACTAATGAAAATTTGACATGGACTGTATACTTATAAATAACTAAATAATGCATTACGTACGTAATATCTGCTAATAGGTGACGAGGTTGTCTAGATTTCAATTCTAATAAACCAGAGGTGAATAACTCGATCAATTATAATTAATATCAATTCCGGAGTCGCAATCAGAATCTCTCGGCTTCTCGCACGATACTCGCCTTTGTTCGACTAAAGCGCCACCTGTTACATGAGCCAAAACTAACATATCTAGCTACCTACCTAGATACCTAGGAACATATAGATTACCAGCTTTTGCAAACGGTTTCGACGGTATTATAAGGGAATAAAGTATTTTAAGTTTTATTCCACACTATAAATATTTCTCTGAGCCAAAATATCTGATTCGTTCAGTGTCTATAGTGGTTGAATTACACCAGCCTCAAAACTTTGGCCTTTGTTATATTAGTAGGAATTTAGATGGGTGGATTTCTTGGATAGAAGCGTCCGACTATTAAGAAGGTACCTACAAAGCGTTGTGACGCTTCGTCACTTCTCCTCTACCAAACTGTACCTTATTTCGCATTAACAATGACCCTTAAACTCATTTTAACAACCCATTTTCCTTCGTGCTAGAGGCCCAATCGTTCCCGTCCAACCATCCCTTCCCAATTCCTAATTTTCCAAAGCACTTTAAGGCTTGCAATGCACGTGTAACTTATCTGGCGTTGCGGTTGTGGATGTGCGTCGCCGATTGCTTACCATCACTTATTCCGTCTGCTAGTTTCAACAGGGAGTTGCAGAAAAGTTTAATTTAGGTAACTAATGCTCATTTCCTAGTTCAAAATACACCAACAATTCTGTCTTACCTTCACCACATTCATACGGCAATGATAAAAAAGGTATTCACCGAATTACAAGTAAAAAATGAGGTTATTAACCTTTGATCTTGACTTGCAATATTTCGTGTTGATGATGTAACTCGTACCTACTTTGCTCGTCACGCTTTAGAAACTAGGATCTGTCTATATTAACAATTATTTAACTTTACATGTGTTATTTTTTGATATAGTAAGCTGATTTTCCAATGGTTGGATAAAAGTTATGATGAGAATTATTATGATGCTGTCGCGTTAGAATGTATGAATAAGACAGTGACAGCAACAATTTTATTCTTCAGATAACATTTGACTGCCAAAAAATCAGCCCTAGATAGGATATCGATTAGTAATAAGTTACTAAGATGCGTAACAAACCGGGGGGATAATGGTGGCAAATACTCAGGTAAATCTACCAAGAAGACCTTTAAAGACAGGTAAATACAATATTTAAAGAAATAATAATATTGTTCCAGGTTTATTCGTTTTACTGCTGGTGGAATTGAGAGTGTTTCCTGGCGGGCAGTTAGGGTTCCTGTGCAATGACCCCGCGCTCTCACATCCCTTCAACGGAGATACTATCAGCTGGAAATGGCTTCTAGCAACATCGATATTTTTACCTTTAATTGTTGTAAGTTAACATTTATATTATGTGACAAAAATTGAGATGAAAACCTAACAGAATTTAGGTTGACTATGCATCAAAATCGAACAGTTGAGTAACCATTTTTTTTTTTGAAAAAAACATTGAAAAAATTCAACCTATTTAAAAAAAGAAGGATGTCTTGACTTCATTTTTTGACAGAACAGCTGAGGGTTTGTATCGCTATCTTTATTTTGGGTATTTAGAAGGTGTATCGACCTCAATCTAAGCAGTCTGCTTTTCTTACCGTATTCCTTCATCTTCAAATAATATCCTAAAGACTACTTCAAAGAATTTTCTGATAGGTTAATCTGCAAAAAGGCACTTTTACTAGTTATTTTTTTAAAACGGGTTTTATCTAAAATCTGTATATGTGTTTTCGTTCTGACTGCTCTGAAAAGAGACTCCGAAACAAAGTGGTTTGAGAAACCTGAATGCTAACTGTGACAGTCCAAGGTCATGCCTTCTCTAACAAATTTGGAATAAACCTTTCTATCATAAAAACGAAATCTGGTACCAACCACACTACCATCTTTTAGTCAGATGTCACCACTGTCGAATTTGGATACCTACAGACAATATTATGCTGTATGCAGCCAATTTTTCTATGAAAATGCAATTTATTTTTCAGATGTTAATAGTAGAAAGAAAGTACCACAATGAGAAACCATCGCAGTCCAAATTGGCTGTTGATTGGTTCAAGGAGTATCTTTATGGGCTCCTGCTCAACCTTCTTATTGTGGAGACCCTCAAGGTCATCGTGGGATCCCCGAGACCACACTTCTTTGACACTTGTAGCCCTAACGAGGCACAGACTTGTAAAGAGTGAGTATTATTTTTCTTTACTACAACAATTTGCAAAGAGTCTGGGCCAGCTCGACTGGCGTGATACCACAGCCTCACAAAAAACCGGCTTGAAATAATGCTTCTTCTTGACTATATTAGTGAGGTTACTCCGGTAACTAGGATTGGGCTCACGGATCCATCCGTAGTCCGTACCCTAACCCCATATCCCTAGCCTTCCCATTCCCAATTCTGCCAATCACTCTCTGACTAGTATATAGTAATCTGTGCCAATCACCCAATCCCTCGATCTCCCATTCCTCAAACCCTTAAAAAGGCAGGCAACTTACTTGTAACTCGTCCATTTTGTGGGAGGGTTTTTGTTTGGTCTGGGGAAAATCATCAAGAGACCTCTCCAGTAAGGCGAGAGAGAGTGTCAGACTCTTACTGACTAAATTACGGTGCCGTTTGCTTACCCCCAGACCGACCTACCCAATAAGAAATAACCAAAATGAACTTAAATGTTCTACTATATTGACTGTATTACTATGACTAAAACTTGCTTACCATTACTGTTTTGCTTGCAGATCTGAATACGTGCCAAGCTATACTTGTACAAAGGCGCACTGGCTGAGTCAGTCGGACAAGAGCTTCCCTTCAGGACACACGTCTCTAGCTGTTCATGCTGGAGTGTTCTTAGCTGTAAGTTATCATTACGACCTAAAAATACCATCGTGACCATGGGTCTACGGTTTCAAAGAACCAATAGACCACCATATGGGGTCCAACATGGCCGATGTTTAACCGGGGTCGTGGGTTAAGCGCAATTAGGTACCTCAGCCTCCCTCGAAGGGCCAATAGGGCTGATGTTCAGCCGGGGTTGCGGGGTAAGCGCAATGAGGCACCGCGACCTCGGCCCAGATCAGGAGAAGGAACGGGGGGGTTGTTTAGTCAGTAAAAGTCTGACACTCCCTCCCGCCCGATTCTGGGTGGAGGGACTAAAACCAGAGACTAAAAATATTATAATAGAAACTTTAAGCTGCGTAATTCTTGACGAATACGTTTACTACTATTTTCGCCACGTGGGCACATATACACGAGATCTCCATGGGCGCGGCCAATTAAATCAAAATATATTATTAAACTTTCATTCATTGATTTATTATTTGAATATTATGACATCATAATGTTGCGACCATAAACAAAGTTACTATTCAGTCTCTTTTGCCGTACTATATCAAAGAAACAACCTAACACAAAATCTCTCCTTCCAGTACTACCTACATCGTCGAACGAGCGCGACCTTTAAGGTGATGGTACTCCAAGTGGTGTTCGTGACCACAGCTTTGGTGTGCAGTGTGTCTCGAATGACGGACCATAGACACCACTGGTGGGACGTACTGGCCGGCGCCCTTATAGCTGCACCTGTACTTATTTATACTGTAAGTATATTTGCGTACCCGAGCGTACGGCGCGTAGGGTTCCGCGCGCGCCTCAAAGAGCCAATAGACCACCACAGACGGGGCCCTATAGGGTTGTTTAGCTGGGGTAGCGGGGTAAGCCCAATGAGGCACCGCGACCTCGACCCAGAGCAAGAGAAGGAACAGGGGGGTTTTTAGTCAGTAAGAGTCTGACACTTTCTATGATTGTTTAGACACCACTGACATACGGTGAAGGTAAACATCGTGAGGCAACCTGGACTTATAATTTCTAATTATAAGTTTGAAATCACAAACCCGCATTGAGCAAGCGTGGTGATTAATGCTCTAACCTTCTCCGTGTGAGAAGAGGCCTTTGCTCAGCACTGGGCACTTATAGGCTGATGAGGATATTTTTTTAGTAGGGAAAATCATCAAATGACCTCTGACGTCCTGGTTGCGGTACATTTTTAATAGGATAAAGTCGGCAAATGAGCAGACGGATTACCTGATGGTAAGCAATCGGCCCATATACACCCGCATCACCAAAGGAGTTACGAGGGCGTTGCCGGCCGTTCAAGCGCAGGCCCATAGCAGGAAGCGGAGTGATTTTAATCAGTAAGGGCCGCCTGACACTTACTCTCACACCACCACGTGAAAATCAGATGGAAGATTATCCCACTCGAAAAAAAAACGATGAACTTACTTGTCGATGCATTTGGTGAAAAATATGTTGGTATTTCTGATTCTGCCTGATAAGCTATGTGTAGGTGTTAGGAGAGAGTTAGGACTCCATATGATTGAGAATTATAAAATCGTAATAAAATTTACTATGAAGTTAATACCACCCCAGGACCTTCTTACGACCAATTACAATCCATAACAAAAAATAAAACTTTCAAACCTTTTTAACTTTTTTATCTATTTGTTCTAGATTCGTTACCTGTGCAATAATTTCGAGTGTACAAGCGACGGAACCACAACAGAGAACCCGATAAGTATTGAAACTAAAATAGTTAACGTACCACTAATTAACGCGAAAGAGACATAATTAATATTATAATAGCTAAATAAATTCTTATTGACAAGCGATAATGTACCTTAAAACAAAAGCTGTAAGTATCAAAATTGCAGATCAATCTGTATATAAATTGAGAGAATATTGTCAGTTTAGTAAAATGGACCTTATAGTGAGAGGATAAAGTTGTAATTTCAATAACAGAGATACCGATAGGTACTGGAGTGATGAAAACGAGTTACAATAATAATATTTTTATTTTAACAGCTTCGTCTCATGCTATTCTTAACCTTGTAACTGACGCAATAAAGTATATTTTACCATTATTTGAAATTATATTGTATCTATAAAACTGTAAGCATCAATTTATTGACTATCGGAATGTAAACCTTATCGCTATACGTTTTAAGGCCCCTTTTGGTTTAAATGTAAAAGAATCATATTTATTTTTAATTCAATATGTATACTATATGTAATATTTTTTTAATCTAGAAATAAATACAGTCTGCACAGACTATTTTGTATGGACCATAGATAGGAGTCAGTACTGAGCCCGTCAATAATGGTACACTATTATTTTTTACACAATTATGTTATTGTGAACTTAATTCGTAAGATAATAAGGTTTATTATTAACAAATTTTGATCCAAAAAACGATGCGTATAGTTTTGTGGGACAACACTAACTATGTAACTATTTGATCAATAAATAAAAATTTAATAATAATAATTACATAGGATTTCATAAAAAAAAACCGTATGCATTAGTCAAAGTCAAATTATTATTTTTTTCTAATAGACCCCTACAAGCACTTTTGAACTGTAAATAAAAGAAAACAACAAGTTTTACTTTGTGTGTGTCAATCTGTATTCTAGTGAAGCTATTTACTCGTTCCAAAGTGTAGATTCCTATGGAGAAGAACGAGCAAGAAACTCCATGGTTACTCTTTTTCAATCAGTTTCGCAATTCATTTCTTTTGTTACGTCATTTAGTCTTTTCTATTATTTGAGAACAACGTAACACTAGTATTAAGTCAATAATAAGAATGCGGAAAAGAAAATAACCTCAAGTACAATTATTTTGACAGTCTCGGTCCACCAGTCCCAATACGGAAGTTTCCAACCAGTCAAATTCATTACTTTTATTCAAATGTCAAAAACGATACTTTTCTATGAAATTTGTATGAAACTCCAAAATATGACGTCATGGTATTTTTGCGTCAAATAGACTACTTATTTTTTTTAACAATTAAAAAAAAATATCGAAAATTTAGTGTATCGACAGATCGATGAATAAAAGCATAGTTATTAATCTTCAATATTTTATTGTATTGTTACGTTGAATTAATGTATTTTTGACCTAGGATACTACCCAATTGACGTACAATAGTACTGAGTTAGTTTTTATTTTCTTACTTTCATATTAGATAACTGTGCAGACTGTGAAAGTTTTATAACCAGTTTAAAAGACCGAATAACTAGTCAAATTCAGTACTTTTTACGAAATGTTTTTTTTTATCCTTAATTTTAGGGGCTTTTGTTCTAAAAAATGTCAGCTCTGTCAGGACAGGACAAAAGTACTTGTCTTGTATTTTTGTAAGTAAATACTTATGTAACTACTTTATTAGGACATCCGTGGTACTAGTGCCCACGCTGTAAAGTTTTGCGGCTCTGGCCCAGAGCAGGAGATGGTACAGAAAATTATCCAATAACTTCTCTCGCCCAGGATATGGAAGACGGAGTGTCACTCTGTTACTCTTAATGACTAAAAACCATCCCGTTCTTTCTCCTGCTCCGAGCCGAGCCGGCTGACTTTGCTGTGACTTAAAACTAGTAGAACTTTTCTCAGTTCACGTGAGTGAACCGTTTCACTAAACACATTTATTTATTTGATCATTTCACCAAAGTATTCTATTTTATTTGTGATATTTGTTAAGCGGGTTTCTTTGATATTTTTTATTATTATTGTTATTTAAATACTAACTATTTATTTCAATTTTATTTCGCTCTTAAAGGGTATTTTGTGATCACTTAAATATGGGTTTAATTAAATATTTTACGACATACGAGTGTAATTATTTTTGTGAAAAAATATTAATTTATTTATAAGTCATATGGCATTTTCTCTAAGTCAACCTTTGCAATGAAGAGATGAAAATGGCAAGTGATTAAGTTCACTTTTTACCATTATATGTATACATCACGAAAATATGTAATGAAGAAAAAAAATTATGGATAGATAATGTAAACAATGAAAATATTTTTGACATTAAGTTTAAGAAAATATTTTTGTACCTACATACTGCACCCTATAATAAAATAACACTAACAAGCAATACTTATATCCTAAATAAATTGAAAGGAAAATTAATATTTTAACTAGAATATAAAATAAAAACAACATACAACCTCATAGAAATTGTATCTTGTTTTGCTTGTAACCTTAATATGTGTATAAAAAGTCTCTATTTTTATGAGAATATTAGATTAAAAAATAAATTGTAGTTTATAAGGGATTGTGTGTGGATTAGGATCTTATTTCAATGATTTCAGCTTATGATATGTGTATTAGGTAGGTTGATAGAAAATGTACACCAATAATTGAAAACATTCCTTTTTCGAAAAATCTTTAATTAATATAATTTTGTTTCCAACTCATCGAATTCAATACGAACTTGTATAAAATAGCAATTTTTGAATATTTAAAAAAAATGCTAAACAAGCCAACCAAAAATTAAGTACGACTATATCGCGACAGTATATTTAAATAAATAAATTTATTTGCGATATTGGTTTATTTGAGGTATTTTGCAATGCATTTTTATTAACCATAAAATCACGCCTGTTTGCTGTTGTGCTAATGTTAAATAATGTTAGCTAATAAACTAAATTTAAAATAATATTTATATATATTTTATACGACCTCTTTAATCTAAACAGACATACTAACATTATTTACCTTCAGTCAACCACCTAAATCGATAGACCATTGTATTAAGAAATTTATACTTATACTTACATATTAAGTACTAGCTCTTACCCGCGGCGTCGCTCCCGTCATTTGACTACCTACCCTACTCTGCCTACTCTACCTACCCTACTCTTCCTACCCTACTCTACCTACCCTACTCTACCTACCCTACTCTACCTACCCTACTCTACATACCTACTCTACCTACCCTACTCTACCTACCCTACTCTTCCTACCCTACTCTACCTACCCTACTCTACATACCCTACTCTACCTACACTACTCTACCTACCCTACCCTACTCTACCTACCCTACTCTACCTAACCTTCTCTACCTACTCTATCCTATCCTATGTCCTTCTCCTAACTCTAAACTACCTCCCTGCCAATTTTCAGCTAAATCGGTTCAGCCGATCTTGAGTTATAAGTGGTGTAACTAACACGACTTTCTTTTATATATATAGATAATACAATATTGTCTATGTCAGCGTTTCCCAAAGGTTGTGACGCGATATCGGGCCATCAAAACTAAATACATGCTTGTCGCTATATAATCTGCTATCAATAAATACATTTTAATACCAAGACTGTAGATATATGTATACTAAAGTATATAAACAACTGTAGCATCTTTTAATTCATTCACAAGGCACTTTTTTGTGTGTATTTATTTATTATCCAAATATAATTTACTAACGACCCGCACCGGCTTCGCACGGGTGCAATGCTCATACTAATTTTCTTCACTATTTAATGAAACAATGAATTTATTTTTGCAAATAGGCCATAAAACGGCTCTTTTACACGTCAATTTGAATGTGAAAAACTAGATGAAGCCGGCATTTCCTATCTGACTACTCTGAGAAGAAATGCCGAAACAAACTCAGAGGTCAGTCTCTTTTCAAATCCAGACAATGTAATGGATGTTATATGTATAAACCCTCCTTTCTAATCAACGCTTCAAAATCCGTTTCGTAATTTTAAAGATTTAAGCATACCTAAGGATGTAGGGACAGAGAAAGCGACTGTGTTTTATACTATGAAGTGATGTAGTGATCAATGGAAGAGCATTTTAGGTGTACTAATTTTTGTCAAAGTATGTGTAAATTATCGGGCTACGATAAAACAATTGGGAAACACTGTTCTATGAATATATTTTGTATATGATGTATTAATTTATTTTTGATCAGGTGTGTATTAAAGGGTTATTTTTTAAAACATGCGTTTGTTTTTCATTGGCTAAATATGAAATGTGTAAGTATTTTCTTTTTCATAAAAATTGGTACACATCCCTAAACAAAATAATATGACATTTGATTGTATAGCGCGACTGGAATGTTTGTGGAAGTCAGAAAAGATGACTTCTATGCCATTATTAGCAAGCGATGTGCATCCATGATGCGGCGATTAAGGGACAGTCCTAACAGTATACTGGCTATACTCGCAGATAAAATTGATGGGCCGTTTATTGGGCACTGGGCAAGTTGACATGTGCGCCCTTACGTCCATGTCAATAATTGATATAATATTAACTACGGTTTCCTAGAACCATTAGAATACGAAATTACAAACACTTTTGTAATTATATCAGGTCTGAAATAAAGAATTTAATTTAAGTTAAACAGACCAATCGCCCTACAGATTTATTTTTGACTAAGTCTTCAACCAACTTTTAAACTTTCGCGTTTCATCTTAACAACATTATATTTACGCGGGTATTAATCAAACCTTCATGCCTTATATCAAGGGTGTGACAGACAAGATAGGATCCGTCCTTAAAAAAATTTCAATCCCGACGATCTACACACCTGTGGCTAAACTTCATGATAAGGTAGGCACGGCGAAGGATGTACTGCCGCTACAAAGCCCAGGTGTTTATAAGATCAACTGCAGCTGCGGTAGTTCCTACATTGGGCAAACGAAGCGGACCATTGCTGAGAGGCTCAAAGAACATACAAACATCATCAAACATCAAACATCGCCGCAGTCAAAAACCGACAGAGCAACAAATCAGCGATAGCAGAACTCCTGCTCCAGGCTGGTTCTAATCACTGGGTAGAATTCCACCGACCACAAATTCTCTCCACTGATCGCCACTACCATACAAGACTTGTGCGTGAAGCGGTTGAAATAAAGAAATGCCCAAATAATTTCAATCGGGAGGACGGCTTTAAATTGTCGTCGACGTGGAATCCAGTGCTTTGCAAAACACAACCTCGCTTTCCTTCAAAGTCGGTTAACACATGTGTGGATATAATCAGCGTAGTGTGTAGACGGCCTTATATGGTAGAAAATGAAAATAAGGGGGTAGATGAAGATTCATCACCCGAATGCAGGGAGCTGTGACATCGCGTCTTCAGTCTGCTTGTGACCACGACCTGTGCAACCGGGTCGAAACGTCAAGCCCACCAAGGTATTCAAATTATAATTTTCCGCGTTAATACCCGCGTAAATATAATGTTGTTAAGTCTTCAACCCTTTTAATATCACATTGTCAAACATAAAACTCAACAGAAAAGCTCAATCTCAAAATCAGACCTGAAAGTCTTCCGGGGTTGTGGATGCAAGCGCATAAATGTCAACGGCCTTGGCTCACAGCAAAAGGAACGGGTTTATTTTTAGTCAGTAAAAATCTAACAATCCCTATGGTCTAACCCAGGGAGCGAGAAGACATATAATAATTTTCCACACTCAAAAAAGCACCTAAAGATCGAACCCCGTCGAACGTAATTCTCATAAATCTACATGTTCCTTATTAATTTCGAATAATTATCATTATAATTTAAACAAGCATCTACAGTAGGTACCTACACACTTTCCAAAGTACTTCAACTGATCAAGGAAAACCGATATTTGACTTTATGTCAGCAATCTATCTTTTATTTCAAATTAAACAGTGCCACGTAATTAATATATGAACTTATACAATTACACATGTTTAATCATGAATAATTGGACACCATCGTAATTTCTGTTAGTACCTTATACTACAGTTGCGTGTAAACGCGCGCAAGAGGGTTGTTATTCCAAGTAGGTAAGTATCGTCTAGTCGCAGTTATAATAATTTCAAAGCAAATACGATCAATTCTTTAATCACCTCATTACATAAAATGAATTGATGTTTGTTCGCAAACATTCTCTGACTTTACGGAAGCTTTTGATATTGTTGACATAGGTAATTTCTACTTAAATACTGTAATATTGAAGTTCCCGCAATTCATTTTCATTGTATTTAAAGATTTAGCCTTTAACGGTCCTAATACTGATAAATTCTAATATGAAAAGTATTAATCTATCCTTAGTTTTACTTTATTTTGTTTTCAAAAGCGAGGTGTATGCCAAGGACGTGACTTGGGTCCATTTCATTAGAAGCTTTGTAGAAAATGAAAGAAAACCAACAATGTTGATATTTTGTGATCTGTGCTGGGAGAAATGTAAGTAACTGTTAGACATTTTTATGTTTGATGATTTTGAAATATTGTTTTTACATTGAGGTTTCTGTTTAGGGTTTGACTGTGATGGAAGTTGTTGTTATACGCTAGATGTTGTGAAAAACGACGGACGAATGAATTTAGAAGCCATCTAATATAGACACATATCTACTTTACTATGTAGGTACCTTACAATGTTTATTTTTTTTTATTTAAGTGACAATTTTTAATGAAGTGATGTTTTTTTAAGATCACATTGTGAATTTAGTAAATGCGGTATCGAGCGCAGGAAGCAGATCTTCAACATCAATGGATGAAGGATCAAAGTATTATCGCCATGATTTGCTATACCTAATGGACTTGGATTGCCCAAATGCTGAAGATATTATTGCCTTGGTAACTATTTATTTGCTCTTCATATACAAGGACAAAATCCCTCACCGAAAGAATATGAATACTTTACATTATTTGTGTGTGTCTCAGGCATCCTCTGCTAAACTGTTTGGTGCGCCGTACCGCTGGTTGGTTATAATAACAGCTCGGACAAATAATACAAATATAAATCTCCTCCATGCCAGCCCTATTTTAGCTGATAGCGATCTAGTACTAGCTATGAGAACTGGTAACTTGGTGAAGTTAACTGAACGTGAGTTTTAAACCGTTTTGCTTTTCTTTCGTTTAGATTTTATTGGCTATCAAGCCCGGTAGCAAAAGTTAACAGTATTTTCGAGCTAAGTTAAGTCATATTGCTTTTGATTTTTCACAACTCGACCTTGAAGGATATATCTACCTACTCTCTAAACATTCTTGTTGATCGTCACTTATTTGGCTGAACGTGGCAAAAGACTCTTATAACAAATGCGCCTCGTAAAGTGAATGGTGTTGTACGATAAAATCATAGTGGTGTTGGGCACCAAATCTCTTTTTTTATTTGGAAGTCTACACACCATCTGTCAACGGCACTATGATATCAACTCCTCGCGGCTACTACAACGGCAGCGTGGTGGACGTGCGCCCCCACCGCGAACTGTACCGCCGCCGGCGCGACATGAGGGGGCACTCCATCACCATGTCCAACGTCATCCAGGACAGTAACACCACGCTTGTACATCTACCCAGGGAGGATAGACTGTGAGTAGGAGATTGATCCTGTTACTAATAACTTTATTAGAGTAGTTACAAGGTAGAGTAAAGGCCATAGTTAGTTGCCTTATGCTACTTTAATAGACTAGCTAGTCTGTGAAACTACCACTAATAGTGCTCTCTCGGATAACCTGAACGGGGTCTATTTCTTCATTCAATGAAGCAGTGCCTGGTGCGAACCTACTCTTTATCCACCTCACTTTGAAGCACGATATCTACTGCCACAGCAGATTTGCGATACCGCTACACGATGAGAGTAGTTCTTCAGGTAAAATCCTGTCATGATGGCCACGGTCGCCCCGTGGTCGCGTAGGTAAATGAAATTATGCTGCAATTAAGCAGTATCCGTCTTTGTGTTCTGGTGTTCCATGTGTTCTTAAGTACTTACGATGTCTACTGTAGGTCTAGCTAGTACTTAGTTCTTTAGATTTTAATAAAACTGAAACACCCCAATTTCTTCTAGAGAGCCTCAATATGATTCGATTTCAAAGCTCTGCTGGATGAGCGTGAAATTAGGGCTTGTTATGCTGAACGCTACCCCAGTGTACATATTTAGCAACCGCTGGGGCTACAAGGTCAATGGGCAGTGGTCGGGGATGATCGACGATGTTTACTCTGGGAGGGCCGAACTTGGTGAGTACAATTCTCACGCGATTCCACACGCCGCATGGCTCCTTTTCGTCATAGCGAGATCTTTTAGAAATAGGTACTTACTTTAAAAATGGACTATCCAACACATAAAGCATTGTTCAATTCAAACCAGTCGTTCCGGAGGTTAGCGCGTTGAGACAAACAAACTCTTGAGTGTAAATAGTTTAATAATTTTATTTTATATACTTACTTAAACAAAAAACTGTTTGTGTATAATCCCTGTTATAAACTTAAAAGTTCAAGTGATTTAGAGAAACTAGTAAAGACCGGAAATGTTTTTGTTATCGTGCAGTAGGTACCTAGGGGGTGGACAACACGGGGGTGGAGGTGGGCAAGAGTCAAAAGCACGACTTATCGCACAGATTTGATTAACGCACACACTAAAACATCATTGGAGACTTAAGTGTGATATTTGAGTACAATTTAGATTTTGAAATAGATCTAGTGTCTGATAAAGGATTTTTTACAAACGAAATTAAACCCTAAACTATATTTATTTTAGGTACAAACTTGGTTATAACGGAAGAACGTCTGGACGTGGTCTCCTACACAGATAGCTTGGCTCCGTTTAAAGTGCGTTTCATATTCCGCCAGCCTCCCTTGCCATACGTCACAAATATATTCACCATGCCTTTCTCAACTAACGTCTGGGTTGCCATGTTTGTCTGTGCTGTAGTTGGTACGATTACTGTGTATTTGGCTGCGAAATGGGAAGCTAAAGCGAGAACGGTAAGGTCCATTTTTCTTTTTTGTAGATGTGGCTTGTTGTTTCATATGAAAGTTAGTAATTTTATTTCTCTCTCTCACCCAGCACGGGAGGAGGCGCCCGATGATCTTCTTCCCCCCAAAAAAGGTTGGAACCTATTTATTTTCAAACTTTTTGGAGTCTATAGAGGTAGAGGTATATCTAATTATTTTGTCTGGTATAAGAGCGCTAATGATAGTGGGGAGTAATTTTTTTTTTATTTCTCCACCAATCTTACGTGGTGTTGGGGAACTGGAGTCCCATATTTTCACGTCAGCCGCGGTTCCGGGGCTAGCGCAATAAGGTACTGTACTGCGGCTTCGGCCTAGACCAGGAGAAGAAACGACGGGGTTTTTAGTTTGTAAGAGTCTGACACTCCTTCTCGCCTCAAGCTGGTCGAGAGAAGCCATTTCATGATTTTCCTGAAATTATAAAAAAATATGAACGGAGGAGTTACAAGTGCATTACCTTTTGGGGATTAGGATTTGGGAGATTTAAGGATTAGGGTCACCCCTAATCCTTAAATGGTTCTCCGGTAATTCCACTAACACGGCGAAACAACGCTGTGGTGGTTTCAAGCCGGTTTTCTGTGAGGCTTTGTCTACCCCGGTCACCGAGGCTCCGGGCACCCAATCATGCCGAAGCATGGCTCTCCTACCCTAAAAATAGTTTTTATTCATTCAGGGTCAAGCACACGTGAATAGTTTCGGTGACGCAATGCTGCTGACGGTTAGTGCTATTAGTCAACAGGGTTGTGCTATGGAACCGAGAAAACTTTCAGGTAGATAAACTTGAACATAGATATGTATAATTTGTGAAAGATGCAAAAAACCACGCGGTTTCACGCCTTTTTGCAAAATAAAGGTCGTTTTAACTTTGCCCCACACTAGAATTTTCTTCTGCGTCGTGGATGCGTTTACAAACATACAATTTTAACATACATATCACGTCCAGACCCGGAGCAACAATTTGTGGATTTCACAAAGAGTTGTTCCGTGCGGGAATAGAATCCTTGCCCAGCCACCGCACCAACCTTATAGTCGTCGAGAGATGATCTCCGGTCAATGTGAGCGTGGGTCTGCGGACGGCGAGTAAGAGTAAGCTCACCGCCCGAACAGAACCAGACCCGAGCGTACGGCGGGTAGCGTGCCGTGCGCTCTTCAAAGGGCCAATAGACCATTACAGACGAGACCCTATACGGCTGATGTTTAGCTGAGATTGCGGGGCAAGCGCAATAAGGCACCGCGGCCTCGGACCTGAGCAGGAGAAGGAACGAGGGGAGGGGTTTAGTCAGTAAGAGTCTGACACTATGTCTCTCTCTCTCTCTCTCTCGCCTTATCCATGGCGGGAAAAGCCATTTGTTAATTTCCCCTGACAAAAAACACCATGTAAGTACTCGTAATTATGCTTCAGGTCGCATGATGGTGTTCGTGCTATTCACGGCGTTGATGGCGCTGTACGCGGCGTACTCCGCCAACATAGTGGTGCTGCTGCAGGCGCCCTCCGACTCCATCCGCAGCCTGCCGCAGCTCGCCAACGCTAAGATCACGCTCGCAGCCAATGACGTCGATTACAACCATTTCGTTTTAAAAGTAGGTAAATTATTATTTTAGATTCAGGATATTTATTTATTTTTTGCTAACATATATTATTTTTTCATTTCCACCAACTGAATCTACTTTAGTGTAAGTATACCTTTCCCTTTATGGCGTGGTGGCTCAATGATTAAGGCCTACTCCTCGTGCGTAAGGGTGCGGGTTCGAAACCTTGCTAGCAACAATGTCACTTTTCCGAGTTATGTGTATAATCTGCGCGATAACGTTCGCGAGCTGTCCGCCCGTTGGCGCTTTGCTCAGTTCTGTTGCAACACGCAGCGAGTGCGTACGTCGAGCGACAATGGCTTCCTCATCCGCAACATCGTTACCGGCATGGACAAATGAAAAAGTTATTCAGTTACATAGATCCAATAATTTGGGACGCATCTCGAAAGGATCATAAAAATAAAAATTTAATAGCTGATGCATGGCGCACCATACAACAAAATATGGGAATCGCGCTCACAGCAGTTTCAATTTCTGTATCGGACATCTTCACATTGTCCCTGACGGGACAGAACTAGTTTATTCGCCAACGTGTGTACGCCTCACCGAATATGCGCTCCAACGTTGGTGCGAGCGTGTGGAGCCCAAAAAGTGCCTACATACAATTCGGCAAAAAGGCACATAGGTAGGTACTTGGCAGGTTTTGAAACCGTACCCACTATGATGAGAAACGGGCGCCTTAACCATAAATCTACCACGTAGTCTTGGTGTACCGGAGGTTAAGGCGCCCGCTTCTAATGATGAGGGTGCGGGTTCGACATCTGGAAACTACCAATGTGATTTTTCCGAGCTATATGGTCTTTCTATAACTAATTAGACACTTTTGACCCACGGTGAAGGAAAACATCGTGAGGAAACCTGGACTTATAATTTCTAATTAGATAGATAGGTATAAGTTTGAAATAACCGCGTGGGGATCAATGCTCAAAACCTCTGTGTGAAAGAGGGTTTTGCTCAGCAGTGGCTGATTAGGTATGTGATGCAAGACTTCTACGTGATACAGGTCGCAGAGAACTGGTGACTTTAGTAATTTTATCTAGAATGCATTACATCTACTTAGGCTATTTCTCATCCAAATTTGTGTTTTAGGGTCTATTCGCATTCCATTCCATCGTGGAGCCAGTTTACAGACAAATAGAGGACACGTTCTTGGAAAATGAAAAATGTGATCTAATGGAAGTGGACTTCTTGAACAACTTCGACCCCTTCGTGCCGGTGAGGAAAGGGTCGCCGTATTTCGAGTTGTTTAGAGTTGCGTAAGTACCTACTTAGGTTTATTATATTAATAAAAAATACACTTTAAGTATTTCTTTATAATTTATCTTTGTATTTCTAATATTTAAGTGTGTGAGAGCCATGCTTCAGCACGAATGGGTCGGCTCGACCGGAGTAATACCACGGCCTCACAGATAACCGGCGAGAAACAACCGCAGCGTTGTTTCGCCGTGTGAGTGAGGTTACCGGAGGCCCAATCCTTCCCCTCCACCAATCCCTCTTCAATCCCTAAATCTCCAAATCTCTAATCCCTGAAAGGTCGGCAACGCACTAGTAACTCCTGCGTTGAGGGCGTCCTTGGGCGGCGCTGATTGCTTACCATCAGGTAATCCGTATCTCGTTCGCCGACCTATTAAGTAGGTACATAAAAAAATTATCAGCAACCGTAATAGGGTGCACTTGCATTACACCTAAATATACTAAGTATAAGTAGATAATAGATATATGTATATGTATTTTTGGAAAAACGACTATTTTTTTTAACTAGTATATAGGTATGTACATGAAATGCGAACCAAAAGAGAAAGAGAGAGAGTGAGAGAGAAAATTGATGCACAAAAATGTATTTTTGTATTTTCTTTTTGTGGAATCACCTGTTGGTAAGTGATCGGCGCCGCCCATGGACACCCGCAGGCAATACCGCCACCGAAAGATCATTACAAAGTTGAGTGGGGCAGAAAGTTTTTCTTACAAATATCATTATGCTGATTGTGTGTAAGCGTAAAAGTAAAGCCTTGGCTGGAATAAGGCAATTTATAGATAAAGTTATCAAACAGTATGTTCTTCTTTCCAGTTTCAAACAGGTTCGCGAATCCGGTCTACAATCAGCTCTGTCGAAGAGGTTGCAAGTCTCCAAACCTCACTGTACGACCAAGATGTCCTCGTTCAGCAGTGTGGGGCTGATGGACATGCGTCCCGTGCTCATACTGATGCTGTATGGCATCTGTTTGGCCGTTGCCATCTTACTTGGAGAAATCTTCGTTTATAGATTGTAAGTGAATTAATTTGGGTTTTATCTGGTAACCAGCTTCCCTCGTGCGGTTTCACCCGCTTCTCGGCTCCATTTTATCGTGATCTTTTATAGCTATGTATCAGAGAAAGAATTTTGGAAATCTGACCAGCGGTTCCAAAGATTACCCCCTACATACAAACTTACAAATTTTACCTCTTTATAATATTAGTTTAGATTAGTAAAGGCAAGCTGTTTAACCATCTTCACGTAAGTTTCTGATAAACATATCTGGGACATAGTGTATACAAATAATTTAAAAAAAAACGTGAAATAAGCCCTTATTTTGTATACTTATTTTCAATACTTTTATAAGTTACAAACATCGTGACGTATCTTTTTTGCATTCTAATTAGTATTTGTAACTGTGATCATATTTTAATAATTCACTGTCTTTTCACTGTATTAAAAAGTCAATTCATCTTTGATCTAGGAAACCCTAATAGCAGAGAAATTGAAAAATTTTGATACTTCTTGCTATGATATTACTGTGACGGAAAAGTGGTTCAAACTCTTTGACATCATGACGTCAATGGATGGTTGTCAAACGTTGCCTAGAGATTGTAAATTTCGTCGTGAATTGTCAACACGAGTTGGTGTAATCGGTAAGGCGTGTGGATTACACCAGAGAGACCCCGAGTTCGAGTCCCGCCGTAAGCATGAAGTTTTTTTAGTTGATGGAAGTTTTTGTGGAACTTTCTGGAAGCTTTTGGTGTGAAAGTAATGAAAAATCAAAGAGCGAGAAGGAGAATAAATAAAAATGAATAACGAAATTATTGGAAGGTTCTGGAGTCATGACAATCAAAAAGAATAACGAAATTGAATGTTCCAGAACCTGACCGGGGGTATATAAGCGGAACTGCGGCTCACCGCTGGCAGTTGAGTTCTAAGTCTAAAGCGATTCGGAAGAAAAGGAAGAAGTGAAAAAGAAGAAAAGTGAGTGAAATAGTGAAGTGCAGTGAAATAGTGAAGTGCAGTCAGTTAAGTGAGTTAAGCCAGCGTGAACGGCAAAGTTGTGTCAGTCGGCCGGGCTCTGCTGGAGAGGAACGCCGATAACTTAACTCCGTGGACGCTGTAACTTAAGTGCAATAGAAAGTCTGAAAACCGGTATTAGTGTTTCATTTCATCCAATCCCGTTACCCAAGCCCGCATAGTCAGGAACGTGACGTCAGGCACGTAACATTACCAAACACTGTCAGTTCTCTCAATGCAAACCGCAGGAATTTTGCTTGCTCAAAAAAACCAGACAAAACTGGCTACAAATGGCTATAAAGACGCATATATACGCGAATAAATAAAACAAAAAAATTGTGAATTAATAAATTTATTGTACGAGCAAGTTTGAAAACATTTCCAATGCTTATTCTTAAACCGAGGACACAATAAAAGTTACATAAGTGCACACAGATATCAAACTCGTGTACCAGCACTGTCTCCATACATTTGCTCTACAGACGCAGTAAGGACGACATTCATAAAAAATCTACCTAATCGCTTCACTCTGAACCTTTATCACGCCATCAAAGGAATTGGCAATGGTGTATATCTATCTACATTTCGCCAGATTTACAACATATAATTAAGCGGGTATTATTAACACGAAAAAACAATTATTTAAATACCTTGGTAGGCTTGACTTTTCGTGTTAATACCCGAGTAAAATATATGGTGTAAATATGAAACGCCAAAGTTTAAAAGTTAGTATTTTGCCAGATGTTCAAATTCCTTCGCTCCCTTAATAGGGAGCTAATATACTAAACAGTATTTTATTACAACAGGGGCTTCTTCAACTACCGTCAAACATTTTCACTCAAAACTTACTATCGAGCATTTCAAAACAGAAAACCCAATAATACTTTTCCCAACTCGGGCGGGAATCCAACCCGAGACTTATCTACCACACTTGATTTCCGTGCTATATAATTATTTAAATAAGGAGTTCTTGCTAAATGCGAATGCGTTCCCGCAAAAACAATTAAAAAAAATTTTTTTCTCTACTCAAATAAATTACTACGACATGAATTTAATAATATAAATAATATCCCAGAGGTTTTTTTAAAAGCATTTCTTAACCTATCCTAGTCCAGTATTGGGCAGAAATCTCTTAATTTTTATATTAATATCATTACTTATTCCGAACATTATAATTTAGATTGTTGTTCAATTTAAATTTAGATTTTTGAGAAGTAAAAATGCAGTTCAGAGATATTTTGCCCAACAATGGGGTGACAAATGCCATTGAAAAACTGAAATAAGGTACTTTGCAATTAGTCAAACTCAATACTTAATAAATCCAAAACATTATATGTATTTATGAATTTTGTTCTTTATTTTTTATATGTCAATGATACTTTTAAAATTGCTAACAACTGCAAAAATTAAGCAAATCAAAAACAAAAAATCTTGTGTTGTTAAACTCCGATTTTAAATTTGTAAGAAAACCTACAACATTACTTGTATGTCTCTCAACCCTTTTGAATACATTCTTAACATTATTATTTTTTATTTTACTGTGTTAAAAATGTATAATCAATTTCTTTTTTGACCGAGAAAGGTACCTTATTCAGTGGCTTACGTAAATTCACGTTACAAATAAATAATTTGAATCTTTGAGTTACTACAGATACCTTCAAGTTTGTTTCCCTAGCAGGGGAATACAGTTGCATAAAATAACTCATTCTTAATGGAACAATACTTAAAATTCTCTTTTCCCCTTTTACTAACTATCTTGTAAGCCTAGTTGTTAATTAAGTAGATCGCTGTCTTCAGCTAAAGTCTTTTCCTTGACAAGTTTGTTCAGATGGTCGATCAGACCCTGGATAGACATTTCCCCATGGACCTTGTTATCCCGCGTGCGCACGTTCACCGTACCTGATTGTTTTTCTCTGTCGCCGACAACTGCAATACATAAAAAATGTTGTTTAGAACGCCTTTATACTAAAAGTGGGTGTTACACATGAAATAACAGGTTTGTGTAAAATTTTATTGAAAATAACTAACATAAAAACAGAACTCGGGAACGACGACTGAGTTGGTCGCACGCAATGAATAGTCCGAATGAAGAGAGGACAATTAGACAATACAAAGTTTGCTGGGTCTAGTTTAAAAAACATCGCGGGACCCTTTCGAATGACGTATCTAGGACACGCTTCTAGTAGTGTTTACTGTTCTCACACAATTGAAGCAACTTGCTCGTTCTTTTCAATTAGAATCTATACTTTGAAACAAGCAAATAGCTTCACTAAGAGGTTGTGACCGACAGACTGATACTTTTTATCTTAAAGCTTTGTTTGACGTTAAAAGTGCTTGTAAGGGTCTAATTGAAATACAATTGAAATTGAAATACAATTAGACCCCAAAGGCACTTATAAAAGTCAATGATTTTGATTCACTTTGACTTATTTCAACCATCAGTAAAATTGTCTATGTTTATAAGTTAAAAATTATCTTACCTAATATATAGTTGAACTGCGCCAGTTGTGCGTTACGGACTTTCTTGTTGAGCGTGTCGCCGGCGTCCGTGTCCACCTCCGACATGAAACCAGCTGCGAACAGTTTCTCGTTCACCTGTTCATAATAACAAATACTTTAATTCGAAACTTGTAACAAAAATCCTACTTATAAATGCGAAAGTTTGTGAGAATGGATTAATGTTTGTTTGGGAAGAGCGGAGTGTCCTAACACAGACATTACCTGCCCAAAAGGAGACTTAAAACATAATTATTGCAAACACTGTGCTGCATTATCATTTCTCTTTTTAACTCTTTCACGCAAAAACACAAATCCGAAATGAAAAACACAAAACCGAAATGAAACCTCTTTAGAAAAACCGAAATGAAACCACTTTAGAAAAACCTAAATGAAACCTCTTTAGAAAAATCTCGAAGTTGTTCCAGAAAATGAACCAACCAAAGTTTGAAAAATACTTTTAAACTATATTAATATTTATCATTTCTAATCCAGGACCTCATCTCGTCATTAGCACACAAAACTAACCTGCACAGCATAGTCATCGAAGCTGGGACCGACGGGTACAACACAGACTTGTCTCGGACTGAGCCAGAAGGGCCACTTCCCGGCGTACGACTCGCTGAGGATAGCGATCATTCGCTCCACTGAGCCCAAGATAGCTCTGTGGATAATCACTGGACGTTTCTTTTCACCACTTTCACTGTAAATTAAGAAATATAAAGAAATTAATTATAATCAGCAATGCATTTCTATTTACTTTCATATCCTACAAACATTTATACACAAGCGTCTCGCCCCTGTAGATCTTATTTCAAATATAAACCCTTCGTTTTCAATTACACTATATAATATAAAAAAACGTCATCTAAAATATGTTAGTAGTGCATGTAAGTTTATATGTAAATTTATTTCAGATTTATTTTTTATTTATTTTTAATAGTATTTATGTAGTAAGTGTATAACATATTTTATGATCAGTAATATCTCGATATTGCTTGCTTCTTGCGCCCACAGCTAACTCCTCTCTACATCACCCATACGTTCGTCTGGCAGAGACTGCCTATGGCATCAGGTCAACCTTGTACACCAATCTTTGTGCAAAAGTTTAAAGAAATAAAATCCATCTCTTAGGAGTTTTAAAGATTAAAGTATACATAGGAATATAGGGACAGAGAAAGCGACTTTGTTTTGTACTGTATGGTGATTTCTCACCTAACATAAGTAAGGTTGAATCTCTCAGGAAGTTGGAAATCCAGCTGTATGGTGGCGCATTGATGCGACCGGCGCAACGCGTCCTGTATGGTGATGTCTATCTTAGGCCCGTAGAACGCACCGTCGCCTGGGTTCAACTGCCACGGGCGACCGAACTTATTAAGGGAATCTTCTAACGCCTGTGAAAGTGAAATAATATATTATGTACTAGCTTTTAGAATAGTTGGCTTCCTGCAGATTTTTGTTTGATTCCCGATCTCGCGGGATTTTTGAGAAGTTCCCGTTCCTGCAGGATTTTCGTGATAAAACTATCCTATGTCCTTTCTTGAGTTCCAAACTATGTCTTCACTAAATTTTAGACAAATCTGTTCAGTAGGTTAGGCGTGAAGAAAAGACAGGCAGAGAGAGTTACTTTTGTATTTATAATATTACTTTGGAAGTTTGAATTGCTGGTGAGCTGGGAAGTATTTTTGGTGATAGGACCGCAAACGAGCTGACGGAATACCTGATGGTAAGCAATCGGTGTAGCCTATAGACACCTGCAACATCAGAAGAGTTACGAAGGCGTTGCTGGCCTTTTGGATGAGTTTTCGGAGATTAAGTGAATGGCACATAAAACCGGCGTGAAATAACCACAGCCTAGTGTTTCGCCGTGTGAGTGTGGTTACCGAAGCCCCAACTCTTCCCCTCCCCCAACCACTAAATCTCCAGATCCCTATTGTTACTTCTCTGTTGTTGCTCTTAGCAACACGTAATCCGTCTACTCGTTTGCCGAACTATCACATAAAAAAAACTAGCCGCGGATAGAATCAGAATAAGTGTGGAGTACCTTTTCAGCCTGGTCCCATGTGGCGAGTTCTCCGAGGTACTTCTCTGGCCTGGTGGACAGCTTCAGCTGGAACGTGAACCCAAACGTCGAGTACACGTGGTTCAGGAAGTCCAGACACGATAGCTGGAAGTAAAATAATTTATTTATATTAATTAATGTAGGAAAAAATCAACTGCTTATTAAGCAAATGAGTACATGTCTATGGTAACAATAGGATATGAAACATGTAAGAACAGATTATTTGAAACTTGAAATGGGAGGATAAACAACAGAGAAATATAAAATTGCTTTTAATTTATACACATACATTATTGTCATTTAAAGAGCAGATACGGAAAGCGATTTGTTTCAGCATAATATGGTAGTACTGATACTAGACGCACTGGCTTCGCCAGGAAACAATACTGATACAAACTTTCTGCACTATTTAATTGATGTTATTATTATTACATATATAAAACCTCTCTCCATATTTAAAAATAAAAAACAGCATCAAAATCCATTGCGTAGTTTTAAATGTTTAAGCATACATAGGAATACAGGGACAGATAGTAATCAATACTTATAGTATATAGAAGTAAAATTTGTAAGTTTGTATGTAGAGGGTAATCTTTGGAACCGCTGGTCGGATTGCGAAAATTCTTTCACTGATAGATAGCTACAATGTTCCTGAGTGCTATAGGCTATAAAACATCACGCTACAATCAAATGGAGCCGAGCAGCGGGTGAAACCGCGCGAGAGAAGCTAGTAACAAAGAATGGTAGTTACCATTTCCTGTTCAATATGCGCGGGCGTGCAGAATATATGCGCGTCGTCCTGCTGGAACCTGCGCACGCGCGTGAGGCCGGTCAGCGCGCCCGACAGCTCGTTGCGGTGCAACACGCCGAAGTCTGCCAGCCGCAGGGGCAGCTCGCGCCATGAACGGATACGGTTGTCGAACATTAAGCTAAAATGGAGTTTTTTTTTTATTTTAAAACATTGATATCGTCTAATGTGTCCCACGCTGCTGGAATAAGTATGGTATGAGTTACCAAAGATTTTTGTTAGCAGTGAAAGACTTAACTATAAAGGACAATATCATCATCATAATCATCATTAGCCGAAAGACCTTCACTGATGAATAAAGGCTTCCTTCTTTGTCCTCCACGTCTTCGAGCGACGTGACCATTGCCACTTCAGTCTGCGTATATTCTAGCTATGTCAGTAATTTTAGTTATTTGGCGAATTTCCAAATTTCTTTTGTCTCACAAAAAACCTCGAACATAGCCCGCTCATAAAGGCTATAATATAATTATATCTAATACAACAGATAGTCGTTTGTTGTGAGACTGCCATTAACTATGAGCCCCTAGTCTGTCTTGAAAATAGTCGAGTAAGCTCGTCAGAGTTACATATGTATTTTTTGCTTGTTAGATAATTATTTTCATAAGCCTAACTTATATAACAACAATATTCGGTAATCTCGTTTAAAAAAAGTAAACTTACGCCAATGTTTAACGCAAACATATAGATTAAATAAAAAAAACCAAACATTTCTACATAGACTTCAACAGTGTAAACTCAGGAAATACAGATATTACTTATAAAAGTTGGAAAAAAGAAATATTTAACTTACCAGTGTCCAGGGCAGTTCATGGGCTTCAAAGCGAATGTTTCTTTCTCGACATCGAAGGAGAACATGTTCTCGGAGTAGTGGGCCCAGTGACCTGAAGTCTGCCACAGCTTCGCGTTAAACATGTTTGGAGAAACCACTTCTTGGAAACCACGGATCCTGAATATAAAGAAAATATTTGTATAGATTTAGAGATAAATGGAATGTAAACACCTTTATTATTAGTATATATATAGGTTTAAGTATTTATATACAAACAATTTTGTAAAATGTTTATTATGTATTAGTTTATTGTTTTTTAGATTGTTATTTATGTACAGTGTTTATGGGCCTTAGTAGCCTGAAATAAAGAGTTAAATTAAGTATTTGAATATTAAAATATCTAGGAAAAATTTCTAACTTTATATGTGACAAAATCTACCTAAATAAGTATCCAAAACTTGTACTTTTTTTTGTTAACTGTTAGACTTGTTTAGACTGAAATTGATTGATAACTTGATTATACTCCATCAGTTTTATAAAAAAACGATAAAAGTATAATTGCGTGAACCAGATATTGTTTAGCGGTCCCGAATTATTGGTTGGTCAATGATCAACTAACGAGAGGAGTTAAAAGAAGAAATCTTTCCTATTCTCATTACTAACTTTTGCCCGCGACTTTGTGTTCGCGTGGAACAGTTACTTCCTGTGGTTTTTTGTTTTAAAATTATCCTTTATCTTTTCTGAGTTCCAAACTATGTCTGTGCCAAATTTCATACATATAGGTTTCGTAGTTTAGGCATGAAGAAAAGACAGTCAGACAGACAGAGTTATTTCGCATTTATAATATTAGTTTGCATTGGTATCCTGCCCCTCTCCCCCAACCCTGAACCCATCACTTTCATATCTATCACCACCGAAAGGTCAGCAGTAATACACTTGTAAAACCGATGTCTCACGGATATCTGTGTGCGGCGATGATTGCTTACGATCAGGTGCAGTTCTATCTTATTAAACTTCTCCAATAGGTCAGCAACGCACTTGTATTGCGAATGTTTACGGGCCACAGCAATTGCTTACCATCAGGTACAAAACCCACAAAAAAGAATCTACACTTTTTTATTCCAAATCCTTCTACCAATATGACGTAAAAAACTCAATATTTGCATTCAGATATCGCTTAATGAGTATTGCTATTAACATGTCAACTTAATCGCGACCACAGATAATGAAAAACTTGAGTGGGTGATAATTTCGATACACATCTACTATACCAGTATAGACCAATAATACAATATCTATGGATTAGATATCTCTGTATAAATTGTGACTTTGATAAAACTGTTTCCGTATTGTTTATTTTTATCTGTTGAACATTGTATGTTTTATGACCCACTCCAACATTTTTAGGGGTTAGTCAAAACTACTACTGATCATAATCAAAATCAAATCAAAAAAATCAAAAATGTTTATTTCGTTATTACACTATAGAAAAAGTTGTACAGTTGGTGACGTCCCCTTTTAAGCATGTAAATGCCTGTACCAGGGGGCGCCGCTCTTTTATAGCATAACTAGCGTAATAATTTACACAACATAAGGTAGATAAAAAAATATAGTTATACGAAATAAAAATTATACTAGTTTATTATTAAGTCTGTTGGTGTATGAATGTTATGTCTGTTTTTGTTCGTGTGGAAGTGTGTGTAAGTTCTTGTGTGCGTGTTCGTGCAATTTTGTATGAGCATGTGTGTGAGCGTTTGTATTTCTATGTTTGTGAATGAGAGAGTGTGTGTACGTGCATGTTATACGGAAAGTGGTTTGTGTAGATGGGAACAGTTTAACTTATATTTGATAGCAGATTCTCTGTTTCATTATAACATAAATTGTTTATCCAGTTAACCAGCATTTTTTTGCATTCTTTAAGCTGTCTGGAATAAATGTCTATTATTTTATTTATTTTATTATACAGATGAGACGAACGTCTGTCGTATTGAATTTTAGCAAATTCTGTTTTTACCCGAGTGGTGCGCGCAACGTCGTGTTTTCTTCTACGAGGAGCTACGATATTTGGCGGATTGTAATTTAGAGGTAGTGTTTTATGTTTTTTGAGCACTATGTGTACAATATATAATTTACGAACTGACAATAAGTTACTGAGTTGGTATAGCTCATTAGTCGGAAAGGTCCTTGTTTTAAAGTACATAACTTTTATTAATGTCCTTTGGGCTCTTTCCACTTCAAGAAAACGCGTTTTGCGCGCGCCTCCCCAAATAGAGATACAATATGTTATTACTGATTGTTGTTGTTGTACCACTTCTTGGGACTACGTGTCGTATTGTTTTAAAAATCCAAATGAACTTACGTATTCGTGCAGTAATTTGTTCAATTTGAGGATACCAGGACATGCTTTGATCCAACATTACACCCAGATATTTGACGTGTTTGACTTTACTTATAATTGGACAGTTACAATTGCTATTTGATATGCTCCTACATTCATGTATTTTAATATTGAAATCACAATCTGGCTGTACATTATTATATATTGAGAAGCAGATATAATTCGTTTTGCTGGTGTTTAAAGTGAGAAGATTGGATTGTAGCCATGAGGCTACTTGAACCATGCCATTTTCTGCATTGGATTTGACTTCAGTCCAAGTTGAACCAGTGAAGACAATTGCGGTGTCGTCAGCATACGAAAAAATTTTTGCCTTATTTATAGACATATTACATAAGTCATTCAAATAAATGAGGAATAGGGTCGGTCCCAAAACGCTTCCCTGGGGCACTCCGCAAGTAACACCCACTTCCTCGCTGACACAATTTTCTAGCTTAACCTTCTGTTTCCTGTTTGATAGGTAATCGGTAAATATAGCTAGTTGTGTTTCTCTAATACCTATTTTTTCCATTTTTCGAGTAAGGATGGGAATGGAAACCGTATCAAAGGCCTTTTTTAAGTCTATAAATATAGATAAACATCTTGTACCGTTATCTAGTTCCTTAGTCAGTAAAGAAGTCAAGGATGTGATAGCATCTTCTGTAGAGATACCGCGTCTGAAGCCAAATTGAGATGGAGATAGAATATTATTGGTTTGAAGGTAACTTAATAATCTGTGATTTAAAATTTTTTCTAATATTTTAGCTATAACAGGAATGACGGATACTGGTCTATAATTATTAATATCCCATTCTTGCCCACCCTTGAATATGGGGGTTATTATTGATTTTTTTAAAGCGGTGGGAAAGATACCTTGTTTAAAACAAATATTAGCCAAATGTGTAACTATTGGAATTATTTCATTTTTTACATGTTTTAGATACCTAGTCGAGATATTGTCACAACCTGGGGCGCTGTCTGTTTTTAAAGAGTTAATTATAGAGTTTACTTCATCGTCATCTGTGTCCAAAAGTACAAAAGATTTAGGGAGACTAGGTAAGGAATGAAGATATTGGTTTAGTTCAACTTGGGTTACCTTTTGTTGGATGTCATTTGCAAGTTGGTTACCAATGTTTGCGAAATGCTGGTTTATAAAGTTTGCTGATTCTGATGGTGAAGCTTTTAGATTAATTAATTCAGTATTAGTTCTATTACGTTTATTTGTGTAAGTGATGGATTTCAGGTTTTTCCAGAGTAATTTGTTATTGTTCAATGAGTTAGTGAGAAGGTTCCTTTCGTATTTTCTTTTAATTTTTTTAATAAGTCTGTTGCAGTGATTTCTGTAGCGACAATATGTAATTTTTTTAATTTCATTGTGGGGATCGTCTCGAGATTGTTTTTGCATCTTATTGCGATTTTTAATACATCTCAGTATGCCTTCCGTGATCCAAGGTTTTATAATTCTTTTACTTTTAGGGATCATGTGAGTTGTAGTATTTGCTTTTAGTGAGTCAACAAGTTCTTGAATTAAACATTCGGTTACGTAGTTAGGATTTTCAGAAAACAGCAGTGTTGATAGATTTTTTTCTTTTAAATGTTGTAAAGCACTTTCAAAATCAATTTTAGTTGTAGTTATCGGTGTATTTTGGCTTTGTTTTATTTTTGATAGCGATAGAAATGTTGTGCGGTGATCTGTAATAGTAGTGCGTAAAATAGCAATAAAGGCAGAATGTCGTTTCCTGTTTATTTTCAACATAAAATGGTCAAGACAATTTTCTTCCCTTGTAGGTAAATGATGGCCGGAAAGAATGCCATAACTCGATAACATGTGTAGGTATGAAGTTCTATTTTTAAATTCATATGATTGTTCAGTGTGCTTAGGTATAAGATTAATATTAATGTCACCAGCAATTATAACATTGTTGTTTTGAGAGTTTTGGTTATCAAGGTGGAGTGCCAACGAATTTATGAAAGGTTCCGCGTTAGTGTTAGATGGTGATCGATATATACCTAAAATTATACTATTCAATACCTTCACTTGTAGACATGATGCATGACTCAACTTTAACTCTGTGACATTGGCTTTTAAGGTGTCTTTAATATAAAATACTACGCCGTCATTTTGGTTTTGTTGACGAGTAGTAGCGTAGGAACGATATTTGGGTAAAGTAGGTACAGGTTTACTTGGATCAAGTCTGCATTCAGTCAGAATGATTACGTCTATATCCAAATCAAAACAAAAAAGGTTCGCTACAAAGTCATCAAAGTTGCGGTATATGCTCCTAATGTTTTGGGAAATTAAGTTAAGGTCACTTTTAATTGAGTGGTAGTGGCTAGCAAGTTCACTGCAATCACAGTCTATTGTTCTCGCAATATTTATGTTATCGAGGTCATTTATAGTTTGTAGTAGTGGGTCACTCATTATTATGTTTTAAATGTGCACGGTAAGTTTTAAGATCAGGGTATTGTTTATGTAACGTGTTAGCAGTCGTTTCAATACATTCCCTGCATGTATGGGTTGTTTGTATGGGTAATAATGTTTTTTTTTTGAAATGTTTAATTGTTTTTAAATATGTGCGTCCATAAAATGTGCTCTTTGAATGTCTACAATAAAATAACATTAGCATAACTGTAACTAAACTGTTCACAGTATAACATGTAAGATAGTGATAGTGTGTGAGTGTGTTTGTAGGTGTATATAGAGGAGTAATGAACGATGTAATTTTTGTGAATGTCGAGTAAGTGTAACAGACTTTACATACCCAGTTTGATGGCCATAAAAAAATATCAAAAAAATAATGGCAGAGGTATTTCACTTCCTTCAAATGATACAGTCATTGAGCGATAATCAGCTGTTGAATCTGTGCTTCGCTTTTTATTATTATGGTTGGAGAGTTATCTTCTCTTTTGAGGTAAATCCGGCCGTACGCAGTCCAACAATATTTGTAAGTTTTTGACTTAACGAGGTCTCTTGCAAGGAAGTGTAGGCGTGCAGCTTTAGCAGTGAGTTGCTCAGTGACGAATATGGGTGTATCCTCGTTGGTGTGCATGCCCAGGTGCTTGGCACATAGCTTTGCCTTATGTTTCAAGTTAAATGCCTTACAAGATTTCAATATATTATTTTTAATCAATGTTGAATTTGTTTCCACCACGATAGGCGTATTGCCGGATTCATTCTTTGCACGCACTCTGTATATATCACGGATAATCGTACTATCCAGTGGACAACCGACTGAGTTCGATAGGCTTGTAACCATGTGGATAAGGTCGTCTTTAGTTTCACTTGTCTTCTTAGGTACATTTTTTATTTCAAAGTTAGCCTTTCTGGAATCCTGCTGCATACCCTCTATTCTGTCCTCCAAAATAGTTATATATTTTCTATCCTCCTTTGCTTTATGCTCCAAAGATTCAATTTTTTTCTTGTATTCTTCGTTTTGCGCCATCAAAAAGGCAATGGAATTTTCAATGTTGCAACTTATTTGTTGTATTCCCTGGAGCAAGGTGGCATTTTTTTTAAATTCATTCTCTTGGGCCGTCATCATCTTGGAGAACATAGACTGCATCTCTTCCTTAAATATGGCAAATTCATCAACCAATTCTTCATCACGTCTTCTTTTTTGCCGGGATGCCACGAAGTTGGGGGGCGTTTTATGCTCAGGTTGTTGCAGCCCTACCCGGTCCAGATCCGTTTCCGACAAAGATTTATCTAAGTTGGTCCGGTCCATGTTGATTGAACGATGTTATTGTCCTTCCGTTAATAAACAGACACAAGCTACCGTTGCACTCGTAGCCCTCGTAGACCGTAGCTCCTGACGTCACGTTTCGTAGCAGGTCGCGTTATGCTTGCTCCGCCGACGTATGCGACAGAGAGGGCAATTATGGTGATGGTCTTTGTCACTCGAGGGTCGCGGGGGGCAGGGCCCGCTTGTTATCGGGATCGCCGGCGACGACTACACACTACACGTTCCTTTCACTTTTAACTTATAGGTACTGGAATTTGCGAGTTTATGGCAGTTATAATAAGATCTAAACTGATTCGTACTAAGATTTTTGTTTTGATTTATTTTCAACCAAAACGGGTGCGCACGTCTGCTCACACCTGAGATCCGGACGAAAGAGGATAATACCTACCTACATATATTAATTCGATTTCTATTTTTTCGTGTCGTCGACATTGTCGTCAAACACATTGTGACTGCTGTCTTAATAGCTGTATTTATAGAACTATGTGGAAAAATAGTTTTTTTTAACATTGCCATTGTCAGATTTTCTCCTGATTCGTAGGCGGTGTATCGTCAAATTCACATCACATCCAGACCCGGGACAACAATACGTAAATTGCATTAAGATTTGTTCCTGTTTCGAGGAGTGGAACCTACAACACGATAGGGGCCAGTTGTCTAACCATAGTGCCATCTGTGCAGTGGCATATTGTACTATCAAGGATTAAGTATAGGAGAGCCATGCTTCGGCACGAATGGGTCGCCCTCCCCAATCCCCGAAAACTCTAATCCCCAAATGGTGGGCATCGCACTCGTAACTCCTCTATTGTTGCGGGGACCATTTGCGGGGCTGATTGCTTACCATCAAGTAATTAGCCTATTCGTTCGCCATCCTATTAAATAAAAGTAAAACAGGTGTTATACAAGGTCACTGACCTGTATTGTTCTCTAATAAAGTTGACGAGCGTGTTGTAGATATGTGCGCCACGTGGCTGGAAGAAACATGATCCAGGCGACAGCTCGTGGAAGAAGAATAACTCTTGTTCCTGTAACAATAGATATCATATTCGTGTGTAGACAGTCTGCATAGCAGGGGCAGGAAAGGAACAGTTCATATAAAAATAGATCTAAGTCTGGTAGAATATAATTATAATGTGTCAAGCCTTGTCGACCTTCTAGAAGGTAGACCATACTCTCACACAATATTACGATTTAGCAGACCAGGTGAACTAGGTCGCCAATATGATCACTACATAAGTATAAAACAAAGTCGCTTTCTCTGTCCCTATTTCCCATTCTTTCTCTCTTTCTCTTATCTTTAAAACTACGCAACGGATTTTGATGCGGTTTTTTAATAGATAGAGTGATTGAAGAGGAATGTTTATATGTATAGTACCATCCATTAAATAATGAAGAAATTTAGTATCAGCGTTGCATCCGTGCGTAGTCGGGCAAGTTACGAATCTATACTACTTAATATTATAAAGCTGTAGAGTTTGTTTGTTTCAACGCGCTAATCTCCGAAACTACTGGTTCGAATTGAACAATTCTTTTTATGTTTGTTACTCTATTTATCGAGGAAGGCTATAGGCTAAAATAAAACATCACGTTACGATCTTTAAGAGCTGAGCAGCAGGTGAAACCGCGCGAGAGTAGCTTGTACGATATAATACACTTCTATATACCTTGCCAATCTTCCTGTGGTCCCTCTTGGCAGCCTCCTCCTGTATATGCTCCCACTCCTTTAACTGCTTGGGCTCCGGGAAGGATACTCCGTATATTCGCTGCAGGCTTTCTGCATCAGCTTTACCTTCCCAATATGTGGCTGAGTTCTGTTGGAAGATATTGTTATTAGTAAAAACTATTTACAATAGGAATCAGATTAAAATATTAACTGACTTATCCTGTATGTTATTAATATTCTGAATTTAATGTTATTAGGGCAACTCTCTCCTTAATTGTGGATGCATTTAAAAACATATAACTTGTTCAGTTAATTGTGATAATCTAACGGGCAAAACATTGTGCAACAGTGGGTTCCTTATCTACTGACCCAGTGATGCAGTTCACAGATTAATTCTTTTTCCTTCTTTATACACTTTTTTAACACCAAAAAGTCTGGTAACAAAGCATATAACACATACCTTAGTGACTTTGAGCGCCTTGACTTTCCCCGTATGTCTGACATGGGGTCCCCTACACAAGTCAATAAGGGGTCCACACCGATACACCGTGGTAGTTGGCGTGTTCACTTTCTCGTTCAAAATCCTCACTTTAAACGGATTGTAGTCAAACATTTCTAATAACTGTTCCTTAGTCAGCTCTAAGCGTTCAAATGGCTGCTTCTCTTTTGCAATTTTCTTCACTAATCCTTCTAGAACGTGGAAGTCCGTTGAAGATATCTGTTGAAAGAAGAATGTATATTTTATAATAAACTAGCGGCCCAACCCCGCTTCGCACGGGTCCTACTATGTTTTTAAGAACGAAAGGTTTCCCCAATTTTCCCCTCTACTTTTTAATATCTTTTTTCATAAAAACCTTCTCCTGTCATTAATAAATACAAAACAAAAGGATTTGGCAAAATTGGTCCAGGCGTTTTTGAGTTATGCGCTTACCAACACATTTTGCTATTCATTTTGATATAATAGATGTATATTATAATGGCTTACTCAAGCAGCAAAGTTAGATTAGTTGGATAGGTGACGTCACTTCGCTGCACACAATGCTATTGCTGAATAAGCGTCCTGTTTTGACTTAAACTAGTAGTACTTTTCTCAAATAAGTAGTATATGCTTTATTGTGGGACTTCGACACACAATAATAAGACAATAGTTGTTCGAACATCGGCGTTCACTTCGCGTTGTGTGAATTAAGTTTTTTATGGGGCAAAATTCTCAAACAGCTTCTCGAGCCTGGGGTGGGCCAAAAGGGAGTATCAGGTTCTTAGTGTATTGAATGGTATTTTAATACCATTCCTTCTACTTGGGGTCGCCAGTTTCCAGTTATGAATCAATGGTGGTGTTTGAAATTGGCATGGTAGATTTTGCCTTTATCGTTACAAAAACAAAAAACAAGTACAGACGAAAATTTGAACATAGAAACCCTTTTAAAGCCATGGAGCTTTGCAAGCAAAACAAATTACCGACACTGGTCAGGTCTAGCTTAAATGTAGAATCGGCATGTACCGCTTAAATGTACCAGGAACTTATATGAAGGTCGTAAAACAGGCGCTAAGTCTAGTATTTCTTACAAAATCATAGATATAAATAGCACTTACCCCTTTCTCAGGATAGTACATGTCGTAATAGAAGCCCTCTTCGATGGGAGGTCCGTAGCAGAGGCAGCCTCCGTATACCTAAAGGTAAGAAAAAAAAAAACGTGTAAGGTTGTAAGTACAATAACATTAAAAAAGAAAATATGACTTGACTTATGTTTCCTCAGCCTTGAGTTAAGTACTCAAGGCTATGTATTATGTCTCATTATAAAATAAATAAATAAATTATGACAGAAAATTATAAGACAAACGCTATGACAACAGATGTGATAGTATATAAATAACAGGATTTAGTAACTCACCCTCTCCATAGCTTCTCCGAGCATATGAGCTGATGAATGCCAGAACACCGCTTGAGCATCTGTGTTGTCCCATCTCAGAAGTTCCAGCTTGCAGTCACCTTCCAAAGGTCTGTCCAGGTCCCAGAGCTCGTTGTTCACTCGTGCGATGATGGTGGAGTCGGCAAGACCCTGGCTGTGATGAAGGACAGTCATCATGAGGGTCGGATGTGGAGAAGAAGGGTGGAACTGGTTGGAGTGGCTTTATACTGGGAATGCTGATGGTATAGCCTAACTTATGTCCAGTTTAAGTTGAGCTCGTATGAAAATAAATAAACCAAATAGATTTCATGATTGAAGCTCCTACAATCTGGGGATTAGTGTCTACAATTTTAAATTTAATTTTAATCTCGCAATTAAAATTGTAAGTAAATTTTGCAAATGAATAATGCCTTTAAAAATTCGGTAGTTTCCTAATCCAAAAAGAAATAACTTTTTTCTGCTTATAAAACCATACTTAATTAAATGATATATTTTTATTTTGTTACAATGATGCTATTCAGCATAAAAAAATTGCTTTAAAAAGTGTTTAAAAATGGCGTTACTAAGTATAATAAAAATAGTAATGTTTGACATTTTGGATAATTATTTAATTTGATTAATTGGAAACTACCTTATTATAAAACCAGCACATAAGTACTATTAGTAATATAGTTACTTGTATGAATATTTATACTCTGATAGCAAACATGGTCTCACAATATTATCTCTAAAAACAACTAGATATGCTGTAAACAATATATGTGAAAACAATGAAAGCATTATTTACATCAAAGCATATAAATGATAACTATTTATATTTTCTTAGGTCATTCATTTTTCTTCCAACTAAAGAAAGTTTGCAAAACAGACCTATTTCATTTGTCAATAATCTATTAAGATTTGAATTATTGGGTACTATAGTCCAAAAATTATTCGACCCTTGAATACAATTAATAATTTAAATTTATAATCATACTTCCTTCATTCCTGTCGAAAATCATTTGACATGTCTTTAATATTATAAAAGGCTTCCAATATAAAAAACTTATATACTTAATATATTATACAAATATTATAATGATTGTCTGGTACATAGTGGTTATTGTAAAATAGGCCTCAAATGTAACATCAGTAAAGGCTTTTATTCTCTGAAGCCAAAGACAGAGTAGAAATACAGCAAACTTCAACTTTCTATACAAGTCCTGTATAAGGACCATATCAATGCATCAAGCATTATTTTAAACTTCAAGCAATTACTGTTAATTTTTGAAAACATTAAATTTAAAAGCTGCTACTATAAGTTGTTAATAAGTATGGGCTTGTATTATACAGAAGCTATTCCTGAAACTCGGAAACCCAATCAATAAAAAGTTATTTAGAGTTTATGAGATTACATTTCAAATAAATGTTATAATACTATTAGATAAACATTAACCATGCCTCAGCAGTTATTATCACAATATACTTTATGTATATAATTCAGTAAAAGCCATCACAACAGTCCACCCTTATTAAAAGTACTTACTATTCACTCCACCACTCGCTTGTGTGCAGGTAAATAAGTAATTAATTATTATTTTACTGAGCTAGCAACATTTTATGATTGTTTAAGAGGAGTATGGCAACACTTAATTCCAAAATTTCGAAATTCAAATTCAAATGAATGAATAATGCTACTAAAATGTCTCTAAAGGATTGTTGTCATAATGGGCATAAGCTTTAAGCTTTAAGCTATAGGGTACCTCATAGCTTTTGTCTATTATACTTACCCCTCTAGCAAAAGATATAAGACATTTCAAAAATGTGCAATAAGAGATGTTACAATACTTCAGTATAATTAAAATAAAAACATATAAAAAAATACAGTAAGAACTCCTATATAAAACATGAAATTTTAAAAAGTTGCAAAAAATATTAGATTGTGATAAAATATAAGAAAACTTTATCAGTTTGAGATGTTTATTAGTCATACCGTGCTATAAAAATGTTGTAACACTAATCTGGGTCATGAACAAATTGTATGTCAAAGTTCATCAAATTATGTTAAGTCATTTTCAAGAGTGTAACTAACATACATACCTACATAGTAAAATTGCTACATTTCATGATAAAAAATCAATCACTAGTATTGGAATTTGAAAATCAGACACTTATGCAGTCATGGGGATTTTTCCTTATCACATTTATTAATAAAATTCCCAATAACTTTTAGCCATGATATCAATCTTATCTAGAAAATCAAATATCTTTAGGAAATACAGTACTCAACATTTGATTAAAGTATCAATTTATATTGTTAATAGAATGTCAAGGAAAAGATATTAATATGTATTTATGTATGTATACTGGAATGTGGCTTATGAAACATAAGGAAACTATTGCATATAATGAGAATGGGTGGTATATCATGCTTGCATTGTGTTTATAATTGAATGATAGTTCTTAGAAAAAAGTATGAATGTACATCATGTGCCTATAAAACCTTCTTTAGCACTGAAAATTAGTAAGAGTATGACTGTTTTTTTTTCACTCTAGGTCAGAAGGTTGTCTCTGGTGTGAAGTTAAAATGTAGCTGTAATCTAACAGTGTAAACACAAATGTGCTGCTTATAAATAAAGTGACTATGCTTATGTTTTTTCATGTTTTTTTATGATTTTTTTCATTGTTTTTATTAATTATCTTTTAACACTATTTTACTTAGGTAGATTTTTTACAAAAAGTTTATTGCTTTTAACTTTTTAACTGTGGTAATTTGGGACACAATAGTAATCAAATAGGTGTGAATGCCAGTGCAAAAATAAAACTCACCTGATTCCTTTGGCAACATCGTATGGAGTGGTTTTCCAGGCTTTAGCTTCAACGGTTTTGCCATCAGGAAGTGTCACAACGATGCTGACATCAGGCTTTTTAGCCAATTCTTCTTCGTACTGAATTTTGAACTTATCCCAAAGAGTGATACGTTTCTGTATGTACTCTGGCCAAGGGTTCAGTTCTGCTACACCTCCGGAACCTTCCTCTGCTTTTTTCTTCTTTTCCTTCATGGCTTTTGCCTTTGACTGCAACAATTTTTTGAATTAATTTCTTGATAAACAAACATTATTTGGCGATTGTATTCACACTGAGTTGTAATTAAAGTACTTTTAAATGTTGCACCAAATTAAATTTTGCTTATAGTCCCACAAGACAGTCAATGTTAACATAAAAGTCTAATTAGAATCTTATTCTAAAGGTGGTATTTGAAGTAGGGACATAGCAATGACAACTGGACATGTTTATTGTGCAACATCACAAACAATTGGAAACCACTATTTTCTTGTAAGGTGGCAACTTTCCCAGGCAAAAAATATACGTAAAGATCGATATTTAGTTAAGTAATTACGTATAAAAGTATAATTTACACAGATGTATGTCACAATCACGGTTCACTTCACTTTAATAACCTAACGAGTATTTGGCAACATATATCCCGAAACTATGGCAAACACGAGTTATTTCATAGCATAGCTTGTATGTTCACATAGACTACAAATAAAACAACTTAGGTACAGAAAAAAATAATCGTAGGTAAAGGAAACCGCATGATATTGTCCAGCAAAAAACGCTGATGAAACTCCTACAGACCCATGTGGCATATGCGTAGTCCTTGCAGCGGACCACACAGCCCCCACGGATGCCGATAAACTTTAACATTTCTTACATAACGTGCTTATATACTTTTTCAAACTAAATATAATGTATAAAACCCTGCCTTTGAGTCAATGTTTAGTTTTTGGATTTCCTCAGCAGCGGTGTCACCCATTGCAGAACGTGTCTTTCGAATTTGACATCCGGGACTAAATGTTGCCAGCGATAGCAAGCACTATTACTATTCTGCATTCCGTTTCACGTAACGTTAAATAACTTTTTTTTTGCAGATTTTACTCATATTTTGGAAAAATAATAATTTTATTGCGACATTCAAGACACATAATATAAAAGATATCACAGTCCAGGTTATTGGCAACATTCATCGTCTCAGATTTTTCGTCATTTCTCATTCACGCTTATTATAATTTCTGTTACCTGCCGCTTTTTATAAGTTTCTTATCAAATTAGCTAAATTACTTTTTTATACTTACAGATGAAAAAGTAGTAATTTACTGAATTACTTTTTTCTGAGGCAGGCGGCCAAATTTTGGTGTGGTAAGCCGTGAGGAATAAGAAAAAGAAATAGTATTCATAATGAAATAAGAAAACACCAAAAATACATGACTTTACTGCCCCCACGACAAATTCTGGTGTTTGTGTCAAGAATTATGCTTTTTGTGAAAGTGTAGGCAAGTAGGATTTATTTTAGTGGCAAAACAAGCAATCGCCGACGCCCTCAAACAGTGGTAGTACCAGTAGTAGCAAATTAAATTACGGTCGTTCTCGTTTAGTAATTTGGAATTTGGGGATTAACGATTGCGTATATTAAGTAATTTTTCGTTACCTATTCTTTTTTTTTAGTAATCATTTCATCTTAACAAGATCTAGGGTGGAATTTTGAGATAATATAAATAATGAGATTACTCTGAGTCTCTTCAAGGCCCGAGTGAAGTTCACTTATAGCTTTTCATCGTAGGTCGCATCATCGCTTACCACCAGGCGCTAAAATGGCAAACGCCAGCCAATTAACTGCACATTAAAAAAATAATATGATCAAACCATCCTATGCCCGATTATCTTTATTTTGGTTGTTATGAATTTATACGTACCTACCTAATATAAAATTAACAGGACAAATTCCTCGATCCTAAAGGTTTCTTTAATCATTGGACTTAATAAAAGCAATTCAAAAGAGTTCAAAGAAAAGAGTTTCAACAAACAACTCCAACCATAATCCGTCGGCTTGTGTCACAAAATGACAAGTTTGAGTAAAACAAAATTCAAAATTCTTACAAAGCAAATAATTAATTTTCTAGTGTAATTCCAATTTATAATTATTTAAAATCCATGTCTTTCCAAAGGACGCGTCCTATTGATGCTTTGCATCGCATCATGACTTCTTTTGAACATTTTGAAAAAAAGTTGGATAAGTTACAAGACGACGTGAAAACTCATGGACAGACTCTGTCCGATCTTCGTAATATGGTGACAGTACTTTCTGCTGGAACACTCGCAAGTGCTGACGGCAAGTCTGACGACTATAGGCGTCCTGGAAGAAAGACAACAGCAATCCAATATGAAGATAAAACACACTTAGAGGACTCTACAAGGTCAAAGAGGAGGAATGCGAGTCAGCCCTTGCCAAACAAATTAAAAGCGAAAAGTATACCAAGCCAGAAGATGAAAACACCATTGATATCACCGATCCAAGTCCACGTTCATAATTGTTCAGAAGTGAGTGCAAAAAGTGTGGGGTTGAAGCATGCACAAAGACATATGAAAGCGGAGGCCCCTCGTAAAGCCACCACAATAAGGTCCCAAAAAACATTAGAAAAGAAACGAAGTAAAATGACAAAATAAATGGGATTACATTAGGAAATTAAGGTATTTCTGGTTTGGTTGTCCTTTTGTATTTTATTGTAGGTACAGTTTTGTTAATTCTTGAAAAACATGAAATATCTTGATATAGAATTATTGAAAAAATAAAACGACAATAAAATTAAGTGTTTCTATGTAAGTTTATTTGTTTCGTGTTCATTGCGGACTATGAAGAGCTAGGTTGATTCCCAATTAATATTAGGTTTATGGAATTTCCTCAAGCTTTAGTAACGTATGGTCTTAACCATCTGTACTTTAGATTTCTGCTTGTAGTATCGGTTAATCCTGAAAAAAAAATACAAACGTAATTTTGATTTGTTATTAAAATTGTCAATGCACTGTTCTTGGACTGGCCTTTCCTGGACTTTTCTGCATTCACCAATTTCACGACCAGACTATTAGGTACTAGGCTCCAAATAGCATAGGTCACTTAGGAATAGATCTGTAGTAGGTATAACTCACAATTTATGGGCAATAATCTCTCCAATCACGATGATAACGGAGACGGCAACGCCATACAGCATCAGTATGAGCACAGGACGCATATCCAACAGCCCCACACTGCTGAACGAGGACATCTTGGTCGTGCAGTGAGGCTTGGAGACGAGGTACCTTCTACGTATAGCTGACTGGATACCAGATTCACGGATCTGTTTGTGACTGGAAGATAAAATATAAAAATGGGCTAGGAAAGCAAAATTTGACAAAGCGACGCAATTGTTGTTTTCTCTAAAACCTTGGAGAGAACTGGCTTTCTATTACACCTTTGTCATCATAGTATCAATCCGGCTGTGTAAGCTCATTTGTATCAAACCCAACTATTACTTGACCGTAAAAAAATAGACTCCGTCCAATATGGATAACGAACGATAATCGAGGACCTTATAAGTACTTTGCTCGCCCAATTGGAATTCAAGGACACTAGACAATGATAAGTACAACAATAGCTTCATCATCATCATTAGCATATAAATGCCCACTGCTGAGCAAAGGCCTCTTCTCACACGAGGGTTTGAACATTAACCACCATACTTGCTCAAGGCGGATTGGCGACTTAAAACTTATAATTTGGAATTATAAGTCCAGGTTTCCTCACGATGTTTTCCTTCACGTCAGTAGTGTCTATCTGTATAACTCCGAAAAATTTACATTGGTTACTGTCCGGTTTCGAACCCGCCTTAACCTCCGGCCACCAGGACATTGTTCCAACAATAACTTACACAACTCTAATCAGCTCCAAGTAAGGTGACCCCTTCCTCACGGGGGTGAAGGAGTCGAAGGTGACGAGATAGTCCACCGTCGCTATGTCACATTTCTCACTCTCCAGGAACGTGGCTTCGATCTGACGGTACACTGGTTCTGCTACTGAGTGGAGGGCGAAGAGACCCTGAAGACAGACACGCATTTTTATTATAAGTGTAATTAAAATTTGATAGTATCAGCATTTTGGGAAAATGGAACGATGAAAGTAGAAATTACAAAAGGAATGTACATAATTATGTTTTGACAGCACTATAAGGTTGCTTGTGATGACAATGATGCTCCCAAAGTAGGATGTGGAGCGCGTAATCTTCCTCACGCTCCAGTCGCCGCAGTAGGCGACACTCCGGGTATCGATTCCCCCCTCAAAACAAAGTTGCTAGGGATCAAGCTAGAAAAATATCCCTACGAAGAATTGCGATTCTTTTTCTTTTAAACTTGGTTAGTTAGAAGCCAGAGATATCTCAACAATCTTATTTCAAGTTTTATCATCTTAACAATAAAATAATTCAAGATTTAGGGGGACCTTCGAACTCACCTGACGGATTTTCTCAACACCATCAGCCAGACTGTAAAGTTTTGCTTTACCATTTACAGGAAAGACTCGGTCGCGAATAGACGTGTATAAGGGCTCTCTGCTTTGATTCTGAAAATTAAATATTAAAGACTTAACATTAGGAAACCAGCTTCGGCACGAATAAGTTGGCTCGACCGGAGTGATACCATAGCCTCACAGAAAACTTGGCGTGAAACAATCATAGCGTTGTGCTTTTCCGTGATTGTAAGGTTACCGAAGGCCCAATCCCCAATCCTAAAATCTCCTAATCACTAATCCCCAAAAGTTAAAAGTACCTAGGTATATCGAAAAGGTACTTACAAAAACAAAATGGTTGTAATCGACGTCATTGGCTGCGAGAGTGATCTTAGCGTTGGCGAGCTGCGGTAGGCTGCGGATGGAGTCGGAGGGCGCCTGCAGCAGCACCACTATGTTGGCAGAGTACGCCGCGTACAGCGCCATCAACGCCGTGAATAGCACGAACACCATCATGCGACCTGAAACATGCCACACGACGCCATCAAACCACAACAGACGAGGCCCATTAATGGGCCCATGTCCTGGCGAGTTTGCTTGAGTTTGGCTCGGTTAGGAGCAATGCAACTATTTCGTTAGTCGTTACCTATTAAACATATGTTTTGTGTTAATGTGCAACCAATCTAGTCGCGTCGCCAGTTTGTAATACTATTGCTAGGATTTAATTCGAAGTATCCCAATTAATATTATGACAGGAAATATTTAATACATAACTTACCTGGCGCTCGCCTGGGTTCTAGGTAGCATCCCTGTTGTGTGACAGCACTCATGGTCAACAATAACGCGTCACATATACCACCGTCCAACTGCTGTTGAGTCGTACTCTATAAAAAAAACTATACACTTTTATAATGGATTATCACTACATAGTATAAAACAAAGTCGCTTTTTTATCCCTATGTACGCTCAAGTCTTCAGAACTACGCAACGGGTTTAGATGCGTTTCTTGGTAGAGTGGTTAAAAAGGAAAGTAAAGGTATCTATAATGACATCCATTACATAGGGGAGATATTTAGTGTCAGCATTGCACCCGTGCGAAGACGAGACGAGTTGCTAGTTTCCAATGAAAATCTTATTCCTTTATAACAGAATAATTTTTGAATAGTAGGTAAATATCGAGAGACATAACAACTTATGTCAACTGACTAAGAAAAGCTCTACTAGTTTCAATGCACAGCGGAGGTCATTTTTGACCGCATTTATTCAGTGTGTGAGTCGTTATTCAACCCCCGACGCAAAAAGAGGGGTGTTATAAGTTTTTTCAATAAACAGATATCATAGCAAAAATAGAAAATTAAGTCAGAGGTATCTCACTAAATAGTCTAACCTTTGTCATAACCATCTCCACCTTACTGGCAAGAAACAGTGTGATGGTTGCTATAGCAGTGCATACAGCTATAGTCACCCAGACCCTGGTGGAGAATGGGAGGTAGAAGACATTAGCCACGTAAGCCAGTGGAGGCTGCCGGAAGATGAAGAGCATCCGCATGGGAGCCACCAGGTCTGTGTAGGTTACCACGTCGAAACGATCTCGGAATATCACGCAGTTCGTGCCTAAAAATGAAATTTTTATCAAATTTGACCGATTCAAGTCTATTTTATGGGATTACCAGTCTATCATAGAAATATAAATACGTAATAAAAGTGGTAGTTATAATAGCTATATTGACCTTGAAATATTGCCCATAACTAGCAAGTTCTATTAAATTAGTCCCATAGTTGCTGAGAGAAGTCTAAACGACTTAAAAGTTATTGATACCCGATTCACGCACATGCTCAAGGCGAATAAAAACCCAAATCGGATTATTTCATGCGTAGTAATCTAATATACAGTTTGAATAGTTTTTATTAAACATCGTTCCACAATGTCACACACCACACGCTCAAAATTAGAACTCCGGTATTATTATGTGAATGAATGAGAATTTCAAAAATTTCAAATACCTACTAACTGGCTTAAAGTATTATCTAAGATCCAAGAGGTTTTCATATATTTTCTTTTGGGCACACTTGAGACGACTACTTCAATAATATACATAGATTTATTTTTTGATTTCTCAACTCACCCACATCGGCCTTGTTGGCATAGAGATCAGCAATCATACCAGACCATTGTCCATTCACTTTGTACCCGTATCGGTAGCTGAAGATGTACCGAGGAGTTGCGTTGATCATTTCGAAGCCAATCTTAGCAGCTGACCAGCAGGCTTTTGTTATTGAATCGTATTGGAGCTCTCTGGAAACAATAAATTAAAACTGGAATAGGAATGTCAAGTAGGTCCCTAAGAACAATTAGTTTTTTTTTTAATACCGAAATGCCAGAACTGTGGTCTCACACATGCCTGAATTGTAATTAAACCATTAAGGGGTGTCTGCTGATGCCATGTGGTGGTTCATTCTTACATTATTGTTGTTTAGTCTTTAGTTATAGTATAAGTTATATGAATTGACTAAGGGAAGACACATTTGAAAAAGACCAAACAGCACTATATGAATCTTTTAAGCTACAATGCAGCAGTGTCTTATTGTGAGAGGAAAATCATGAGCGAGAGGCAGTGTCACACTCGTACAGACTAAGAAGACGTTCCTTCTCCTGGTCTAGACCGCATTCTGCGTCCGACGGAAGGTGAAGACGCTTTGGTGTCTCTCTAGCCACTTCTCAAAGACTGCAATACAGAGTGCCCGCATGCATCATTCAGAAGGCAAATTATCTGTTAATTTCAAATTTGGGCAATAATAATAATTATCAATCCCCTACTCACAGTCTGTCCTCCCTGGGTAGATGTACACGCGTGGTGTTGCTGTCCTGGATGACGTTGGACATGGTGATGGAGTGCCCCCTCATGTCACGTCGGCGGCGGTACAGCTCGCGGTATGGACGCACGTCCACCACGCTGCCGTTGTAGTAGCCGCGAGGAGTTGATATCATTGTACCGTTAGGTCCAGGCCTGTGCACTTGATGGAAATACAGTATACCATTGTTAATAGCATTGTTTCGTATTTCATAACAAAACTGTTGAAAAATTATATCTATCTAATCCTTGATTTTCATACTTACGTACTTAATATTAACCTGCTAATACTACTTATATAACTTAACATATATAATACTAATATATTACCTATACTACATATACATATACATATATAATACTAATATATACTAATATATTAATTTTATTATTATTGTAAACTTAACTTAATAGAACCTATAGTAAGTCAATAGTTTTGAAATCTGATCCAACAGACAAAGTGTGTATACAGTTTTGTTGGACATTTTATACTTTTTATAATGTAAAATGTACCTTCTAAGCAATAATAAATAAATAATAAAATAAATAAATAAATAATGGGTCACAAGTTTAAAATGTGCATCTATATGTATTTGTAGTGAAAACTATATGGAAAATAAAATATGTAAGCGAAACGGCAAACAAGCAGACGGACTGATTTTGAATGATCATGGACATGGGGGAGCCATGCTTCGGGTACGATACCACGGCCTCACAGAAAATCAGCGTGAAACAACTACAGCGTTGTGTTTCGCCATGTGAGTGAGGTTCCGGGAAGCCCAATCCTTCATTCCTTCCCCTAATCCTCTCCGTCTCTCTAAATCTCCGTAACCCTAATCCCTAAAAGACCAGCAACGCACTTGAAAGGTCTCTGCTTCGGACGTCCGTAAGCAAGGCCGATCATGTCCGTAAGTATTGAGGAGCCACATCAGATTTTTAAAATTTGATCTCACCATTATTTAGCAGCAATGTAGCTTATTTTGCAGCACGAAGTCTAGATTTAGCAGCATAATATATCACTAGTTATTTTAATGCAAAAGTGACTCCTCAATCTAAACGTCTGAATTGAGGAGCCATCTGGAACTCCTTAAGTAATAGATGAATATTTATGAAAATGTTGTATCATTAAGTAGCAATTTTGCATATTATTCTGTAGCGCTAAAATGACAGAAAATAAAATACTTTTAATATGGCTCCTCAATCTAAACTCAAGAGGTGAATTTTTATTGGATGTGAGCGATCAATTAATATATTCGACATATTGATCATTTAGCAGGTGTTGTGTTTGTTTTTGGAGTATAGAAGTAAAATAGTAAAACAGAGTAAATTTTGTATATGAACGCATTTTATTTGGCTCCTCAATCCTGACCACAGAAATATAAAAAACAGAAATATACAGACACAGAAATATAAAACACAGAGAAATATAAGAAGAGAAATATAAGATACAGACCACAGAAATATAAAAAACTCTTTTCTTATATCTATGATCCTGACGTTCTACTCTCTACTCTCCTCTTGAGTAGAGAATCCATAATATAATTAATCCTTACGGACATGATTGCTTATCATCGGGTAATTCGTCTGCTTGTTTGCTGCAACACCGATGTCCATGGTAACTACAACCCAGATGGTGTTACAAATGCTGTCCAAGCCTGAAGGTTAACAGACGGGGCCCTATAGGGCTGTTGTTCAGCCGGGGTTGCGGGGTAAACGCAATGAGGCACCGCGACCTCGGCCCAGAGCAGGAGTAGGAACGGGGGTTTTTAGTCAGTAAAAGTCTGACACTCCCTCCCGCCCTACCCTAAGCGGGAGAAGTCATTTGATGATTCTACTCTCACAAAAAAAAGCCTTAAGGTTCGACTATACTTACATTCAGTCATCTTGAACATATTTCCAATCCTCTCAGCGAGCACCACATCACTATCTACCAGCACTGGTCCGTTCTCGAGTAGGGAGATCTTGGACTGCTGCAGTTGTGGCGACGTTACTAGTATCAGCCATCGGTACGTGAATTGAAATAGTTCTTTTGATAAAGCCTGGATCAAATTAAATCGGTTAGTACATTTTTGAGGGAGAAAGTCATCTAATGACTTCTCCCACTACTCCCTCTAACGCCATACTCTCTCTCTCTGTCCTGGCCAAAGTCATTGAATAATCTTTCCCCGCGAAAACAAAAAGCGGAAACAAATTGGCAATTGGAAATAGTTGGCCTATATGTATTTCTCTTGTATGTTTTTTTTTATCTTAGTTACATAGTACGGCCGACGTATCTGGGCGAGTCTGAAGTTAGCCGTTTATCTGCGCAATGGATCTTTTAGGAAAAAAATTGTGCATTGAGCAACTAATCAGCTAACTTCAGACTCGCCAAGATACGTTGGCGGTATTGTACATAATTATATAAAATTCTTGTATCACAATGTTACCTTAATCCTTTGAAACGTCTTCACTGATTTTAACTTCGATATGCATATTCAATAGGCCGGAGATTCGGCTTCTGGCTATTATTATTACAATGAATATGGCAAAACGAAGTTTGCCGGTTCAGTTAGTACTTACATAAGAAAGAACAGTTCTCGACTGAGCGCAGTCCAGGTCCGTCAAGTACATTATAGCATGATCTTGATACTTGGACCTCGGTTTAAACGACGCTGACGTCCGCACTCCTATGTTGGACATCTCTACTACTAGCTTGTTTATAAGTTCTGTAACATAACAAGAAGCTAGTCCTGTTAGGCTATTTAGTTTTTATATTATGTACTACCGATTTCAATAGGAAAAAAGCTTAGATATGTGCGGACTAAGTGGTCACCATAGCCGAATAGTTTTTAAGATAAATACCTACATAACTGTATTACTGATCACTCTAGAAAATGTTTTAATGTGTCGTTCTAACTTACTGGTTAGTGATCTAACCCTTTATCTTATAACCACTAGATTTGTTTGCATAGTAGATCTAATGGTAGGCAATCGGTGCTGCTCTTGGATAACCGAAAAAGCACAAGTGCATTGCCGACATTATTGGATTTTTTTGTCATTTGAGTACTGGATAAAGAAGGGGGAATTGGGTCTCTAATAAACTCACACACACCGCAACATAACGTAAGCGTTATCTCACGGCCGGCCGGTATTCTATGCGGCCGTGGTTTCACTCCGGTCAAGCTGACATATTCGTGCCGAAGCATGGCTCTCCCACACTTGTGCACATATAGCTAATGACTATTACTTTTCATAACGAGGACTGCAGACTAGTGATTAAGTATAAGTGTGGGAGAGCCAAGCTTCGGCACGAATAGGTCGGCTCGACCGGAGTGATAACACGGCCTCACAGAAAACCGGCGTGAAACAACCACAGACGAGTGTGTTTCGCCGTGTGAACGAGGTTACCGGAGGCCCAATCCTTCCCCTCCCCAAATCCCTAAATCCCCAAAAGGGCGTTGATGATTGCTTACCATAAGGCAATCCGTCTGCTCGTAACACATAAAAAATATTAAAGAAAGACTTCATATTCATATCAACTCACCTTTTTTCCAACACAGTCCACTATAAATCAAATGTGTCGGTTTTTGATCGTTGAGTATAAAAAGTTTTATAAAATTAATACTCTCCACATCTCTTGTTTGTACAAGAACAGAATATTGAACGAGAAAGAAAAAAAGTAATAGAGAACAGCCAGCCATATTGCATGAATAAAGATTTAGAAACAAAAGAAGAATGAAGTCTTCGTGACTTTTGTTAGAAACATGTGCTTGTGTTCGAAGCAAACTTGCTACTTGAACGCAGACTGCGATTTTGCGACTGTGTCGACGCATTTCGTTTTCCGTTTTAAACGCAACAGTACAGTTCTCGTGGTGGTCTAGGCGTTAAGGCTCCCGCTTTTTATGCACGATGGGCTTATAATTTCTAGTTATAAGTTTAAAATCACCGATCCGCCTTGGACAAGCATGGCGATTATGCAAACGTTCTCGAAAAGCGGTCTTTGCACTTGTAGGCTGATGATGATGTACAGTGTTATTGCATACACGCTAGGGTTTGCATGCAAGGTCAAAACCGTCGTGGAAAACCTAACGTGATCATTGGCTATCTATCATTACGAACTATTCGGAGGGTCACCTCGGTTGGTCGGTAGGTAATAAAATTCTAACAAGATTCTTTTTATTGTATTATCTATTCAAAATAAAACCAGGAAATAAACAGTTAAGTACTTTCATTATATATTTTTTTCACGTCTTGTTGTAATAGCTTAGTTTAATTATTAGATCTAAACACGCAAAATGGCGACTTCGCATTATTATACATTCGAGAAAATTGAATCATGAAAAAAAAATCTTTAATCGCTTTCTTTTATTAGAAGTCGCAAGTCTACTTAGAACGTTAGTTCTTTTCTAGGTAAAAACAACATGAGTTAGTTAACTTGGACTAAAAAGAAAGCTGTGATTGAGAACAATTTGTGTGGACAGCTCTTCAAAACGTAGGTAAAGACAATTGTATGAACGTAAGAATACCTACATAACTAAAAATGTCTTTATGTGAGTCTGTCATTGACATCACCTTCCTATCCTTTTCCAAGTTACATAAAGTGGTACCTAACGCAATAATTTATCTGAGGAGCTGGCCTGGAGCAAGAGAAGGAACTGAGTGGTTTTAAAAACCCCCCAGTTCCTTCTCCTGCTCTGGGCCGAGGTCGCGGTGCCTCATTGCGCTTACCCTGCAATCCCGGAAAGTCTAACACTCTCTTTCGTCCCAACTAGGGCGCGAGAAGTAATTGTTGATTTTCGCCTCTCAAAAAAGTCATCATTAACTGTCAGGCTCACATCCAATATTGCATATTCTGTTTTGTTACAGAATTTTCGTGGTGGCCCGGAGGTTAAGGATCCCGCTTCGGATTTGGATGCGGATTCGAAACCTGGCAAGTACCAATATGACTTTTTCCGAGTTATATGTACTTTCTATGATTATTTAGACACCACTGACATACGGTGGAGGGAAAAATCGTGAAGAAACTTGGACTCATAATTTCTAATTATAAGTTTGAAATCGCCAACCCGCATTTAGTAAGCGTGGTGATTAATGCTTCTCTAACCTTCTCCGTATGAGAAGAGACCTTTGTTCAGCAGTGGGCACTTATAGTCTGATGATGATGATGATGTTACAGGATTGATTGATGATTTAAAGAAATTAAAATTAAAAAGATTTGTCAAAAATAAACACCACCGTAATAAAAAGAAGGCTTTTTTTCTTCAAAAAAGAAGCGTATCCAGGCGTTCAGTTCTATTCGTTTTGAAGACCCACTTAGGCTTTCAAACTAAACATAATTGAATGTATTTACTTAACATTATGTAATGAATATTTCATTGAAACGTCTTTCTGTTTGACTAGCTTCCAACTGTGACAGCGTAGAAAATAAAGAGATTGTTCAATATGAATAAATTAAAACACGTCTTGATTTAGGTACTTTATGTTTTCTTTATTGTGAATGTCAAGGCCTAAGTTGAGATCTTCATTTGTTAACATTGCTTTTAGTAAGGACTAAAGTTTACGGAAAAGAGGTTTATAACATATTTTAATTTTATTTATTTATTTTTAATATATGACGACGCACTGGCCATCAGCACATGTGAAACCTCTTTGTTATACGTTGATGTCAAACTTCACTGTCAAATGTCATAATTATTTCAAGTCCATAGCGAACACCGAGCTCTGGTGAGGCGGCCTTCTTGTAAAACAGGACACTTAATGTTAGACCTTCGTAGAATACGCACGCACACTCGTGTTCGGTGGACGTTAAGTTCAAATCCAAGCTAATCTTAATTATCCTTAGTTAAATTGTAATAGTAATATTAAGAGTTGTAAAAAGAGTCATTAAAGCCACAATTATTTTATTGAAATACTGTCTTCCTACCCGATAATCCGCGCCTAATTGAACATGTCTAATAATTCTAATCATAGTCGAAAGCTTTCTTAAAGAAACATTACATTTGATTGAATAGGTTCGGTAAATGAGTGATATTAACTAACGTGAGTTAGGTAAACATAAAATTAATACAGAGGAAAATTGACTATTAAGACTTAAAGGAAATAATACTAGGTCCGTTATATCAATCTAAGTACAAACTAATAGTAAAAAGGCATGTCAAAAAAAAAACTTTCAATTCTACAAAGATATTTTTTAAGTGTAAGCTTTCTTAATTGATCCAGTTTAGTGATTTAATATAGCATTTTACTCTCAGACTGAGCTTTATCTACGAAAAAATGTTACAAATGTTATAATTATGAATAAGTTATAAGCTTCTTATTCTAATAATAACTACGATTCCTGCTATATGTGCATGAGATCCCTTCAAAGGTGAATAAGTTCTAAAAATAGTTGTTAAGATAATTTTGAATCGTGATAAAATGTCACGATTTTAAGTACATCTTTCTAGAATTCATTACTCAATGCCGGAACGGGATGTGGTCAGAATCCGCTAGTATTCTTTTCTGCTGTCTAATTGTTATTCTGAAATGAAATGGAATCATTAAGAAATATATAATATATATATATATAAATATATATATAAAATATAATCATCATCATATCACATCATCAGCCTACAAGAGGAATTTTCTCACACAAGTGTGGGAGAGCCATGCTTCGGCACGAATGGGTCGGCTCGACCGGAGTGATACCACGGCCTCACAGAAGACCGGCGTGAAACAACCACGGCGTAGTGTTTCGCTGTGTGAGTGAGGTTACCGAAGGCCCAATCCTTCCTCGCCCCCAATCCCTCCTCAATCCCTAATTCATAAAAGGTCGGCAACGCACTCGTAACTCCTCCGTTGCGGGTGTCCATGGGCGGCGCTGATTGCTTACCATCAGGTAATCCGTCTGCTCGATTGCCGATCAATTACATAAAAAAACACGGAGATAGTTTGAGCATTAATCACCAACCTTAGACGCTAGGTTTCCTCACTACATTTTAAGCAGTAAAAGTACATGTAACTTGAAAAAAGTCACCTAGGTACTTGCCAGGTTTCATACCCGGTAAGGGCTTGAAAGCCAGCACCCTCAAGTATGACAAGCTTGAGGCCGCTGGCCTGGGATCTTCAGGCCACTACGACAATAATTGAAGAGAAACATTTTTGAAACTAAGGCTTTTAATTACTATAGGAGCAGTCATCAAATTAATTTTGTGGTCAACCTGGCAAGTACCTACCTAATAATGTTAGTTTTTCCTTACGGTGCTCTCTCTTGTACGGCTTGAGTTTTTGCTTATAATTTCTAATTTTGAGTTTAAAATCGCAAATCTGCCTTTCGCAAGCGTGGTGACTGATGCTCAAACCTTCTCCGTGTGAAAAGAGGTCTTTGCTTAGCGTGTGCATTAATAGGCTAATGATGATGATGAATAACTCCTTATAGATACTTACAAACGTTTATACGTAATCTCAAGCAGTAAGACGGCTGGGGCAAGCAGCATTCCATATAAGGTCATCAGCATAGCAGGGTACATGTCGGTGATGCCCACACTGCTGAAGGTGGACATATGTCCTGAACATCTCGGCCGAGCCACCGTCAGCCGCTGGTGCACGTTCGCTTGCACTCCTGACTCCCTGATCTTCAGGAAACTAGGAAAATATCAAAGCTTTGACATTACGTGTTTTTTGCATTGGTTTGAAAGGACCCCATCTTTCACCCTAGTCTTGGACTTGCAACTCCTTTGGTTTTGCAGGTGTCCATGGGCCGTGTCGATAACTTACTACCAGGTAATGAGTCTGCTTATTGACCGTATCTCATTAAGAAAAAGAAGTTTTAAGTTGCTGATGCATGTTTTAAAAGGGTTTGGTAACTTTGGTAGGGCTATTCATTTGTAATGAAATGAGTGCAGTCGGTTGCCGTTATATTATGTATGTATTGTTACTCAATTGCTATTGGTAACTGAGTGCTGATAGCATAATTCGACACTCCTGTTCTACTACGGATTAAATGTTTTTTATGTGATGGGTCGGCAAACGAGCAGACGGATTACCTGATGGTAAGCAATGAGCGCCGCCCATGGACACCAACAGAAGAGTTACGAGTGCGTTGCCGATCTTTTGTGGATTAGGGATTTGGAGATTTAGGGATTGGGCCTCCGGTAACCTCAATCACACGGCGAGCAGCACGTCGAGCCGACCCATTCATGCCGAAGCATGGCTCTCCCACACTAAATGTGTGAGAGACACAAAGATAATTTTCTTATCAAAGATATTGCATTAAGGATTACTAACTAAACTATACTAAAACTTACTCTAATCTGACAGTTCTCGCAAACTTACTTAATCTTAAAAAGATCCTTAAACGGCGACCTCTTCTGCCCTGGCACCCAGGGGTCTATCTCGTTTATGTAGTCAATTTCCACCAGGTCACACTTTTCGTCCTCCTGGTACGTCTCTTGGATTAGTCGGTACCCTGGGTTCAGCTCCATGTGGAATGCGAACAGACCCTGTCCAAAAATTGATTTGTGAATTCCTGATTTAGGTAATAAGTTCTTCTTTTTTGATAGAGGAAAGTTTCCAAATGACTTCTCTCGGCCTGAGGGTGGTGAGAGGATGTGTCAGACTCTTACTGACTAAACACCACCTTGTTTATTTTAGCACCATACCCTGGCCTTTTCTTGGTGAAGGGAAAATTATCAAATGGCTTCTCTTGCCCAGGTTTGGGCGAAAGGAAGTGGCAGACTCTTACTGATTAAAGCTCCCCTCTCGTTTTTTTGCACTGGGCTAGTGCCACGGTACCTGCATAATGCACTTGCACTCGTAACCCCGTTATAATTTATAAAAGAAGACATTTACAATTAAAAAGTTATGTCATCACATAATAAAATCAAAATAGAAAGAGATATAGATCACATGCTCCTTAACCTTGGAGTATCATAACGTGGTCAGATAGGAACACACACAATATTAACTGAAAAGTTGACCATGAATTTACAAAAAATCAATATAACACAAATCTTTAATCTAATGAAAACAAAGTTGAGTTTTTTTTACTGTACTTAGTTATACAGTAAAAAAAACTCGAAACCAATTAAAATGATATGATAAGAGAAAAAAACGAAATTAAATTATCAATTTAAGATTTATGAAGTGATTTGTTTAAAAAATAAACGACGAGGATGGGATTCGAACCCACGCGTGCAGAGCACATTGGATTAGCAGTCCAACGCCTTAACCTCTCGGCCACCTCGTCATGTTAGACTCATTGCCAATTAAGATACTGGTATATAAGTACATAGTTCTATCGATAAGAGGCAAAAGACAATAGTGATGAGATTAATTTCCGAAATATGTTTTTTTTTTTAATTTTTAAAACGCGCCTTTATTCATATTTATTCATGAACATATCTAATGAGCCCAAAATCCTCGAATTTGATTTTGTTTATCAGTAAGTATGGGTATGATTCCATCTATACAAATATTATAAAGAGGCAAAATTTGTAAGTTTGTAATTTTTTTTTTTTTTATTTAATAGGTCGGCAAACGAGCAGACGGATTACCTGGTGGTAAGCAATCAGCGCCGCCCATGGACACTCGCAACGGAGGAGTTATGGGTGCGTTGCCGACCTTTTAGGGATTAGGGATTTGGAGATTTAGGGATTTAGGAGGGATTGGGGCAGGGGAAGGATTGGGCCTCCGGTAACCTCACTCACACGGCGAAACACAACGCTGTGGTTATTTGACGCCGGCTTTCTGTGAGGCCGTGGTATCACTCCGGTCGAGCCGACCCATTCGTGCCAAAGCATGGCTCTCCCACACTTAAAGTGGTATACATATAGGGGGTAATCTTTATATTTTTCAATATTCGGATTGCCAAAATTCTTTCACTGATAGAAAGCTACAATGTTCCTGAGTGCTATAGGCTATAAAACATCACGCTACCATTAAATGGAGCCGAGCAGCGGGTGAAGCCGCGCGAGAGTAGCTAGTCAGCCATATTTCTATTCCATTTTCAAACGAGCTTGATAATACCGTAGTAGACCATAGACTATAAGGGTGATCTAATCTACCTTATAACTGCCAAGTTTAATTGTGCTAAAACAATTAAAAGTACATACATAAAATGCCATTAAACTTAGAAAAAAAAACACAGCTGCATAGACAAAATATTAAAGTGTTTTTTATGTGATACGGCGCCATACGAGCAGACCGTTAACCTGATGGTAAGCAATCAGTGCTGTCCGCACCCGCAACACCAAAGAAGTTGCAAATACGTTGCCGACCCTAAAAAGGGATTAGGGGTTCTGGGCATTTAGGAATTGGGGAGGAATGACAGGAAGGAATGGACCTTTGGAAACCTCAACTCCGGTTGTTCGACGTTGGTTTTCTGCGAGGCCATGCGTGCCGAAGCATGGCTTTCCCACACTTATATTCTGATTAGATTTTGATACTACCAGTCTGTATTATTTTTGTTCAGATAGGAAATATACAAATTTATTTATCGGTGTTATAATATGTTTCAATTAATTATTTTATGTGACAATTATTACTTAATTAAAAAACCTTTCTTATTACATTCGTTTTAATCAGCCTCAATGTATTTATTCAGATGTTTTCTTTTAATAATTATGCATTCTTATTGTTTATACAGTTTTGTGATGCCTCGATGTCTACAAGTAGCTAAGAAGTTATTGTATATCTACCTACACATACAAAGTATTTAAATAAGTACATATTTCATATAGCTGACTATCCTTTTTTTAGGTATAGAGTACAAAAAATGTAAATAAGTACATGGAAAAATAATAAAAAATCTAAGACCAAAATTTTGCCAAAACTGACCTGTCGTTCTCGTTCACGGAACTCTACTCTTGGTGTGGTTCACAAATCGTTGTTCCAGATATGGGTGTAAAGTGTTTGTAAAATCGGATCTTTGTAAATGCACCCTCTGCATAAGAATGTAATGTTTAGTTGTGTTTCAAAAAAAAAGAATAAGTCGTTACTCACCTTTCTAATTCTCTCGACGCCATCTTTCATTGAGTAGAAATTCGCCTGCTTTCCCTTCGGTGCAATCTTCTTCTCGTAAATAGCTTTGCGGATGGGATCGTTGAGTTTCTGTAACATAAAATCGAATTTTTGTAACAGAGTTAGTAATTTCTGAGTCTGTATATTGTCTACTAGCTACTCTCGCGCGATTTCACCCGCTGCTCGGCTCCATTTAATCGTAGTATGGTGTTTTATAGCCTAAAGCACTCAGGAATATTGTAGCTATCTATCAGTGAAAGAATTTTGGCAATCCGACCAGCGGTTCCAAAGATTATCCTCTACATACAAACTAACAAATTTTACCTCTTTATAATATTAGTATAGATAAGAACACTAGTAAACATAGATTAACAAGTTGTAAAATGTTTATTCTTTATTTTGGTTTATCACGTCAGGATCGAGGACTTGTAGGAACGAGACCTTACATCGAGGCTCGGAAAGATCTATTGAAGTTGTGGCAATTTTTGGCGTTCTTTGGCCAGTTTAACTGGACCGACAACGCGGCCTCACAGAAAACCAGCGTGCAACAACCAAAGCGTTATGTTTCACCGTATGAGTGAGGTAACCTTGCCAAATTTCATAAACCGCCTCAAAAGGCCGGCAATGCACTAATAACCGCTCTAGTACTTGGGGTCTCCATGAGAACAGCAATTGCTTACCATCAAGCGATCCGTGTGTGAGTTTGCCATATAATCCCATATTATAAAACAACTGTTTTCGGGAGGATCCTAGAAAGGTATCTTCATATTTACAAGAAGTAGCGAGGGAAGTCCATGTATCGTTTGCACTAATATTAATTAGGTGTGCTTTTCTGACCTTCTACCAGTGGTCCGGAATAATACTATACCCCGTTTTTCGATCAAAAAATCAGTTGAAAGACCTTGACCTTTCTTATAATAAGTGTAACAACAGATTCATTATACAACACCTTAATGATTTCAGGGCGAAAAAAATTTGTCTTCAGAAACTTTTACCTTAAAGAAATACCGATTGTACTCAAAATCACTGGCGCCCAATTTGAGTGGTGAGTTCAGGAGATCTGGTAGACTTCTGACTGAGGAGCTGGGAGCTCGGAGCAGTACTACGATGTTCGCTGAGTACGCTGCGTAGAGGACCGTCAGAGCTATGAAGAGGATCAAGGTCACGCAGCGTCCTGGTGGAATAGAAAAATAAAGAATTGATAGATTAGAGATAAGATATTGATATTACCACCACGTCGGATAATCTCTTAAATTTCTTCAAAATTGGGCTTTTAAACGACACAGTTAAGTTGAAATTGTATTAAGTACATATTTTTTCCAGATTGATAGTTGGAATATGCTGCGATATTTTAGATCATAAGAGTTTTATCCCTACTTTTTTTCCAGGCGAGGAGACGGAAAGGATCAACTAAACTTAAGCCAGTTTTTTCGTTCCAGTTATTACAAAACAATTCTTATCAAAACGTTTCTTTAGAGCAGAGAGTCTAAAAGGTAATAAAACAGTTCTTTCGAAAACTATTTACCTCGTTATTTCTATTAAACATTCATCAAAAACGTATTATTTTGTGATGTAGCTAGTGTGGAAAACTCTTTAAAGCTGTTTTTTTTTGTAACAAACAACAAATCGAGACGCCTCACCTAAATGTGTAGTGGATTAGCACCATGTCCGTACAAACCTGCTCCATATCTCGGTTCCAGTGTACATCCTTGCTGCAGAACTGCACCAATAATGAGGATAAGGACATCAGCCCAGGATCCATCCAGTTGTAGTGGGTGCTGAAAATACATATGCATTAAAGAACTTAAAATTTTGCGGGCTTCTCTCAAGTGTAGCATAAAGGGCATCTCTCGCCACTAATTAAGCTCGAAAAATTGTGGATAGAATCGCTATTAAATGACATTCACACTTTGACTGGCGAAAAATTGTTAGGTACTAAAGTAAGCAAACAACTTTTTGCCTATTACAGGAATAAGAAATAACGAATCAAAGATAATGAATTTTGACAAAAACATATTTCGTTCACGTTACCCTATCTCTTTTAATCCCTTAAAATGTAGGTGTCCGAAAATACAATATGGCATTCATCTTAACTATAACTAGTGAGAGAGACTGATCAGACACAGACTTAGACTGATCACCTGATGGCTAGCATTCGGCACCACCTATAGACATCCGCAACACTTGAAGAGCTCCAAGTCCAAGAAAGTCCAAGAGAGGAAAGAATGCCGCCCTATCTCATGTAATACCATAGAATTGACATTTTAAAAACCTTCTATGATTGATTATTCAACTTACCATACCCATACTGGCTTCCCACCTGGAAGCAATATACAGGAATATGGAGCATCCCAGGACACAAATGAAGATGGCCAGCCAGACGGTGCCGGAGAAAGGCAGGGTGAAGATATTGGAGATATAGGAGAGGGGGGGCTCCCTGAACACGAAGCGCACGGCTGTCGTGCCAACCATTGCTATGTAGTCCACCACATCCATGCGCTCTTGTGTAAATATTGTTAGGGTTCCTATAAAAAAGACAAGGTCAAAGTTAAGTTTGGTGTTACTCCTAAAATAGTACCACTCCCAAGTGTGGGAGAGCCATGCTTCGGAAGTATGGGAGAGCCATGCTTCGGCAAGAATGGGTCGGCTCGACCGGAATAATACGACGGCCTCACAGAAAACCGGCGTGATATAACCACTGCGTTGTGTTTCGCCGTGTGAGTGAGGTTACAGGAGGCCCAATCCTTCCCCTCCCTCAATCCCTCCTCAATCCCTAAATTTCCAAATCCCTAACCCCTAAAAGGTCGGCAACGCACTCGTAACTCCTCCGTTGCGAGCGTCCATGTATATACCATCAGGTAATCCGTCTGCTCGTTTGTCGACATATTATTACATAAAAAAACTATTTCTACCTTTGCCCGAGCTTCTTTTGTCAAATTCTTTTTAAAGGTTATCTGGAAGAAAGCGCGTCAATAGTGTCTGACACTCTCTTTCGACTCACTCTACGCGAGCGAAGACATTTGATGATTTTTTCCTTACAAAAAAGGCCCAACTGACCACAGTAATCGTAATCTACTTTCCCCTTATTCTAGTTTTCAGAATAAGAATCCTTAACTGTACTTATCTAGACAAACTAGTCCATTGGGATTAAGACCAAATTCAAATCTAGTTTTTAATATTATTTTATATTTAAGTACAGTTACAATTTATAATTTATGCAGTCAATTAATGATTAATGAGACAGGAAATTATTTTCGATCTAAATTAATACTTATAAACTAGTTCGTATGGACAATTTCTCTCAATGTCATTAGCCGGCGAGGAATTCATCTTTCATATGCGAATTAAATGTACAGTACATTAATGATTTGATAAAATTAACAGTACCTTTGATTTTTTTGATCACACAAAAAGTAGTTCACTGCGGGAATCGAATCCGCGACACGTAGCTCGGGGGCCAGTAGACACCGCGCCAACCGTGAAGTCAAATTAGTCAAAAGTGAGACTAGAAATGTTGTTTCGTTTGTTGTTCCGTGTGGGAATCGAACCCGAAACGCGTTAATCAGCAGCTAGTTGTTTTAGCGCTAACCGTGCTAATATCTAAACTAAGGAATGTTACAATTAATAATAGGATTAAAGATTTCTGTAAAGAATCAAACATTAAAAATATACCCAAATCAGCATCCTTCTTTAGCAGATGGTCAACTATTCCCTGCCATTGTCCATTCTTGTCCTTGTATCCCCATGTGTGGGTGAAGAGGAGTCTCTCAGTCGCGTTCAGCATGTGAAAGCATATGCTTACCACGGCGTAAGACATCTTAGTTATGCAGTCCTGGTGTAGGTATCTGAAGAAGAAAGTTTACGTTTAGAAAAAAAAGAGGTTTTTTATGGAAAGTCCTGCACTTTAGTGTTTTGTTGTTCCGGCCCTGTATTTAGTTTTTGTGGCTCGGTACCGTTGCGTCTGGCATTTTGGGAAAAACCGTTCGAATACTTATCACTACGTAGTACAAAACAAAGTCGCTTTCTCAGTCCCTACATCTCTACGTACCTACGCTTAAATTTTGAAAACTACGATTGAAGAGCATATAAGTATGTTTAAATATGTAAAACATCTAATAAAAAGTGGAGAAATTAAGTAGCGAATACGGGATGAATAGAATTTGAGGGGTGAAAGAGAAAATGGGTGAATACATGTAGGCTAATTTTCCATGACGTGATGGCCCGGAGGTTCATTTTTCAGTCATAATATGTACTTTTTAAGATTAATTAGACACCACTGACAAACAGTGAAGGAAAACATCGTGAGGAAACCTGGCATTATAATTTCTAATTATAAGTTTGAAATCGCTAATCCGCCTTGAGCAAGAGCGGTGATTTAAACCTTCTCCGTGTGAAAAGAGGCCTTTGCTCAGCAGTGGGCACTTATAGGCTAATGATGATGATGAATTTTCCTAGTATCTATACACCTCTCGAATTTTATTTACCCCGCTTCACCGTAGGTATCAGCACCCGTGCGAAGTCGGGGTGAGTCGCTAGTACTTAATAAATAAAGTTGACATTTAATAAGGAACTTGGAGAAGTCAACCAGCATCGTTAGTTCAGTCACGTATGAGATGACAATGGAACTTGGTCAGATAAAAGTTGGTGATACATCGGAGTTCGGTCGAGCAATAAGTTTAAATAGCTACTTGCATGACCAGTTGTAGTTCGCGAGTTTGCGAAAGTTATTCATTTTAATTAGATCGTCGTGACGGGCTTTATAGTTAAGGCGATAGTTCCTCATCTGAATTCTTAAAATTTTAGAACTTCAAAACTTAGATAGTACCGTTCGCGTTGTGACATTTTCAGAGTTATAATTATGTACTTTATAAGATTAGTTAGACACCAAACATGCGGTGAAGGAAAACATCGCGAGCGACATTTTTGAGGGGCGAATATCTCCCCCTGGATCCAGTAGTGAGAAGACTTGGAATTTTAACTTTAACTAAAGTTTGAAATCGTCAATCCGCAAAGCTTCATTATCTATTCGTGAAAAGATTTCATTGCCCTGTAGTATTTATAGGTTGGTGATGTGTGATGATCTGTTCTGTTTTATTTTTATTTTTTTATTTAATACTAGCTACTCTCTCGCGGTTTCACCCGCTGCTCAGCTACGTTTGATCATAGCGTGATGTTTTATCCTATAGCACTCAGAAACATTGTAGCTGTATCTGTAAGGGAAAGAATTTTGGCAATACGACCAGCGGTTCCAAAATTTACCCCTTACATACGAACTTACAAATTTTACCTCTTTATAATATTAGTATAGATAGAGACAGTTATTAGATGAGAAGAGCTGAACATCGAGCTCAGTGGCGTGAAATTGGGGAAGCCTGTCTCCAGCAGTGGACGAAATCAGGCTGATGATTATAAAGACAGGCGAGTTTTTACCAGATAGTAAAATTAGTAAACATTCGATGACACTGAACGGCGCCAGACACTTATTACTCTAGGTAAGTTTTGAATGCCTCTGGCATAATTTCACACAAAATCCGAAAAATAAAGCTGTGGTTCTTAATCAGTAGAGGCTGACACTGGCTCTCGCCCCCAGAGACCCAGGGAGAGAAAATTGATTAAATGATTTTGTCATAAAAATTGATTAAGTTCATTTTAATTTGATATCGATATATCGTCTACAAACTGATATACTCCCTGAATTTAAGAATTGTAAAATTGTAAAGACTTCAACCTAAGGAAAGCTCATTTCATTCTTAACCAATAATGTTTTGACTGCACGGTTGGTGCGGTGACTGGGCAACTGACTGCCGTGCAACGTTTCGCGGGTTCGATTCCCGCACGGAAAAACACTTTGTGTGATCCACAAATCCTTGTTTCGGGTCTGGGTGTCATGTGTATGTGACATTGTATGTTTGTAAACGCACCCACAACACAGGAGAAAATCCTAAAGTGGGGCAATGGTTTTAAAAAAAAAAAAATTAGAGAAAAAATTTTACTTAATAGGCTTGTGGCGACCCACATAGATTGACAACAGTATACAAGATAGCCAACCTTCGAAACTTACGATACCATACGTCAAAAGATCGTTCGTGCTTCCAAATTGTGTCAAAATTTTTCGATATTTACACGATACGATTACTATACGATAGTTGTTAAAATCATTCGAGCTTGCGATTTTTAGTTCCTATCACGCACAATAGGGCGCTGTACAAATCCCATAGAATGCTTTCGATTTCGATACGAATACTTTCTCGATAATTTTCGTGCTAGCGCAAGTGAAGCTTCCGCGCTAATAAAAACGGATAGAAAAGTCCAACGGACAACTGTTGGACAGTATCCCGCTAGGCACGATCACCACGCCTGGTCGAAGAATCCTCCTTATCCGATATAAGAGAACTTTACTCTGTTTCCTAAAGGCTACTAAATCACAAGTTTGCATCTAAAACATTATATAGGTATATTCTGGTATATCTAATACTTATGTAAGAATTTGAACAAGGATGTCAACAAAACTTGGAATACAAGTTACAATGTAGGCGAAGGATAGTCATAAACAGCATTACGTGTAATAATATTATAATATCTGCGTTTTAGATAAATGTGTTGTCCATTAGCATATACATGTTCTTAGAACATGAGCTGGAGAGAAAATAAATGTTGTTAATAAAACATGAATCAGTATTACAGCCTCTTTGTTGAGGGGTCGATAACTAAATTCTGATTTATATCTTATCCATTTTAAGTACGGGAGAGCCCTGCTTGTGACACTACCGGGCTGGCTTCAAAACAACAATAAGGGTATAGCAAAATACTTCCCCCATTACCACCAGGTTTTTTATTGAAAAAAAAAAGCATGAACACACTTACAATAAAATAAATTGAAATTTTAAAAATTTTGTTTATGAATATAATTTGTTGTATTATCGTATAAAAATGTTCATTATCTATTGCACTATTTAGAATAATAATAAAAACTAAGTATAAATTATTATGATATAACTATAATACTCACCTAATTCATTTTTAAATATATTTCCTTTTTTTATTTTAGTATTAATAACTTCACAATTATTATATAACAAACCTTATATTTGTCCTTTATTTGGAGGACAAATAAGTTATTGTACGGTGAAGGTGACTGTCAATGGGTAATTAAAAATAACAACAAAATTAACATAGAAATCTAATTTAAATTCGATCACTACACGGAAGATATAAATAAACAAAAAAATGTAGGTTAATGTTATGTTAAAACGTTACTTGATTGAGAGGTAGCGTTTCAGATACAAAAAAACTGGCTGTATTTGGGGCCGATGTCCAGCTGTGGTTGCGGGTAGAAGTATGCCGCCGCAGTAGGCAACACTTCGGTCGTCGGGGATCGAGAGATGATCTTCGGCCACTAAGCGCGGGTCTGCGGACGGCGAATAAGGGTAACTCGCCAGGATCAGGCGTATGGCGCGTAGCGTTCCGCGCGCGCCTCAAAGACCCAATAGACCACCAAAGACGGGGCCCTATACCTAGGGCTGATGTTCAGCCGGGGTTGCGGAGCAAGCGTAATCAGGCTCCGCGGCCTCGTTCCGGAGCACCAGAAGGAACGGGGAAGTTTTTAGTCAGTAAGAGTCAGACACTATGGGCGGGGGGAGTCATTTGGTGATTTCCCTCTCACAAAAAAGTATGTGCCCATAGGAAACACGAGGCGCGACCTGGCTCGGAGCAGCAAAACGAACAAGGTCTTTTTTTATGTAATAAGTCGGCAAACGAGCAGACGGATTACCTGATGAATATATACATGGACACTCGCAACGGAGGAGTTCCGAGTGCGTTGCCGACCTTTTAGGGGTTCGGGATTTGGAGATTTAGGGTTTGAGGAGGGATTGGGGGAGGGGAAGGATTGGGCCTCCGGTAACCTCACTTACACGGCGAAACACAACGCTGTGGTTGTTTCACGCCGGTTTTCTGTGAGGCCGTGGTATCACTCCGGTCGAGCCGACCCATTCCTGCCTAAGCATGGCTCTCCCACGCTTAAAGCTGGTTTATATTCAAATATAATTTAATGTTTTTATACTTACAGTCTATCGTTCATATGTAGTCTGGTCTCATTACTGTCCGTGATCACATTGACCATTGTCAATGTATGTCCTCTCAAATCATACCGTCTTGAAGATAAAACATTTGAACTCCTATAGTCTTCCATCCATCCATATTTAGTAACAGTTACTTTTGAAACAGTATTTGTACTCGTTGGAACACCTAATCCAGTATTTTTAGTATCGTCGAACTGGTATTGGGCTAAGTCGGTATTTTCACTGTTAGGTTGATCAAAAGATGTGATATTAATTCTTGTATTCTCATCCACTTTTCTGTTATTACTTCTCCATATTAATCGTTTTGTGTGAATTATCTTGGAGGTCTCTGATATTTTGTAGGCTGTAACAAAAATAATGTTTTTAATATTTTATTAAAACTGCCTCGTTGTCAATTCAAATGATACCATTTAGGTTTTTTTTGTTATTTCGAAATATGCACTAATTCCTCAGTGACTTCTCACTGAGCGCTAGCAATTTGGAAATATTTCCGAAATGAGCCAAATACTCCAGCTGCATCCATCTACTGCATATTAATTATAACTTATCTTATAAAGAGAAACTGAAGCACTCTATCCATAGTAACAAAGTCGCTTTCTCTGTCCCTATGTCCCTATGCATTAAAAACTACGCAACGGATTTTGATACGGTTTTTTAAATAGAGCTAGGTATTGAAGAGGAAGGGTTTATACATATGTATAATAACATCCATTTAATAGTGTAGAAATACAATAGTATCAGCATTGCAATCGTGCGAAGCCGGGGCCGATCGCTAGTTTTGTTTAAATTCTTGCATGAACTTATTTGTACAAAGTTTTGTAAATACCTAATACATATATTATTATTCAGGTAGCGTTAGATATAGGAACAGATTAAATACTTAATTTATTTTCTGACCAACAGCTGACTTATGTAGTACGTGAGAGTCTAACTTGTCTTGCATGTTTAGTCTACAAAAATAAGTTTTAATTGTATGTCTCGCGTTCCGCGCGCGCCTCAAGAAGTCTATGGACCACAAGATGGAGCTCTATGTGGTTAATGCTCTGCGGGGATTGCGGATCAAGTGCAAAAAGGTAGGTACCGCGGCCTCGGCCTAGAGCAGGACAAGGAACGGGGGATTTTTCAGTCAGAAACCAGGAAGTATGATGAATAGAATATTTCCAATAATAAGTATCTGGAATTCTAAGTCAACCTCAATTACGTATAGATAAGTATATGAAAAGATAAAAGTTTAGAAATAACACCTAATTTAACTAAAATAATAGGTACGTGCGTGTTTCGAATAATCAGAGATGACGTCAATAGCGGGATTTTTCTATAGTTTATGTAGGTAGGTAGTATTTTAACGCCATCTTGGAATATATTGTTTTTTCCGTAAGGACATAAAGAACATTTAGGTATAGAAGCAGGATTTCTATTATTTGTTGGTTTTTTTGTGCAACAATTAATATTGATTATATTGTGTTATTCTGTACTTTGATTGGGTTTTTGTGTAGCGATATTTTTAGTCGGCAAACGAGAGGATGATTACCTGATGGTAAGCAATCAGCACCGCCCATGGAGACCCAGCTACAATGGTTGTATAACGAGTGCATTGTTGACATTTTGGGGATTTGGGTTTTAGAGATTTAGGTGTACTGTAGTTTTGGTTTTAAGTGATTAATTAGATATTTGTTTAGATATTGTTTTTTTTATTTATTAATGTAGCTTAACTCTGGAAGTAGTCATGTATGCGTCGTTACCCAATGTTATCCTTACTTCCAGGATTTGTCATTAGTTTTATACATACATAATCTATACTAATATTATAAATGCGAAAGTAACTCTGTCTATCTGTCTTTTCTTTACGCCTAAACTACTACTAATCCCATTTCTGTGAAATTTGGTACAGACATAGTTTGGAACTCAAAAAAGGACAACGCGAACGGGGTCACGAGCAAAAGCTAGCTACTTATAAAAATAAACAATTATAAAACAATATCAAGTTACCTATTGTCAATATAATTAAATATTTTTTGCTCATTACATTATTTGTTAAAGTAACTTCAGTTATTATAAATAATTAGTCTCGGTACATTCTAATTTTGTATAACTGTGAATGTCACATTGAATTCACATTATAGTCCCAAAAAATATTGAAGGATAATGACCTTTACTTCATTTATAAACTGACCGCCCGTTCGTGGTTCGTCCGGGTATCTGATCAGAGATCTCATAGATCAGATCTTCTATCGACCTCATAGATCGATCCTCTACCTTTAAATCACGCCGTGTGAGTGAGATGATCAGAGGATCACTTCTTCTCTCCTCGATCCATTAATCCCCGTAACCCTTATCCCCAAAAGGCCGGCAACGCAGTTTTAACTCCAATGGTGTTGCGGGTGTCCATGGGCAGCGATCGTTAAGGCGCCCGCTTCTGTTAAGGCGCCCGCTTCTCATGCATGAGGGTGCGGGTTCGAAACCTGGCAAGTACCAATGTGACTTTTTCCGAATTATATGTACTTTCTATGATTATTTAGACACCACTGACATACGGTGAAGGTAAACATCGTGAGGAAACCTGGACTTATAATTTCTAATTATAAGTTTGAAATCACCAACCCGCATTGAGCAAGCGTGGTGATTAATGGTCTAACCTTCTCCGTGTGAGAAGAGGCCTTTGCTCAGCAGTGGGCACTTATAGGCTGATGATGATGATGATGATGATAGGCTATAAAACATCACGCTACAATCAAATGGAGCCGAGTATAGTATAAATGACCAAGTTCATAACTTTGCCCGTGTGTCTACTTACCTTCTATAAACCAGTACTCCTGATCGCTGATCCTCTTCACCAGGACCACGTCACTATCGACCAGGATATCGGCATCAGCTAGTGCCGTGTCATCATCCTCATAGTTTAGGAGTAACCAGCGGTAGGGGGCTTTGAAATAACCTTCCTTGCTTGCCTATGAACAGGATTTTATAAAAAACACGATGAAATGTGTAATCTTCTCTTTAGGTTTAAATGTGAAAGTTTGTGATAATCTACAGATGTACAGTACGACCGATGTATCTTGGCGAGTCTGAAGTTAGCCGTTTGTCTGCGCAATGGATCTTTTAGGAATAAAATTGTGTACTGCGCAGCTAATCGGCTAACTTCAGACTCGCCAAGATACGTCGGCGGTATTGTATGTTTGTTATTCTTTAACGCAAAAACGGCTGGACCGATTTGGTTAACATTTGGTACCTCTGTAGATAGGTGAACCCTGGACACTACTATAGGGTACTTTTTATCAACATACCACGCGGACGAAGCCGCGGGCGAAAGCTAGTTAAATTATAAGAAGACTTTAGAATAAAAATCTGATATTATGCCAAATGAGATTTTTAGTAACAAATAAGGTTCAATGTTCGAATGAATGGTTGGCGTGGTAGCTAAGTTCGTTACCTGGCTAGCCTATTGTGGATAGCCAAGAAGTCAAGTCTTGCAGAAGATGTCATGAAAACACTAACTATACTTCGAACTTCGTCACGTCCAATCCAGAATTGGCTTTGGATATTGATGATAATTTGGATCCTGCAATGCCGTACATTGAGGGCACGAAAAAAAAAGTAACGAAACGCTCTACGAGTTTCAAGCCACAACGGGACTCTTATTCATGAGCAGCGTGCTCGTCTAGCGGTAGTCACTATTCAAAAGAGAAGAAAATGTTTTTTTTCCACTTCCCTCATAACATTTATTTTATCTTTTACTTTTGTACCTATATTACCTAAGTATATTACCTAAGAATTGATAGAGTAATTGGTTTCATATCGTACAGTACAAACTTCAAACATAGTTGAAGTTGTTTTTTTTTTTTCTCTCTTTTATGTTCATTGCTTGTTTTGTCCCTCTTTAACTATATTCGTGTATGTTTGTTTCTTGCGTCATTTGTGTGTGAAATAAATGGTTTTTCTTTCTTTTCTTTCTTTTCTTGAAGATGTATCATTTATTTATTTTAAAATCTTTTATGTAGGTACTTACTTTAACCAGAAATCCGTCAGTACCTTCACAAGTTAGGTCAGCAATAATCAGGATGTACTGCAAATCATACTCCGTTCTATTATACTGTAGCGATGTGGCAGTGCTGACGCCAACCTCACACATAGTCTTCGCCAAGGATTTGAGAGCATCTGCAATAGAAAAATCCTGGTAAATTGTAAATTGAGTTACGGACAACGGAGGAGTTACGAGTGCCGACCTTTTAGGGATTTAAGGATTTAGGAATTGAGGAGGGATTGGGGGAGGGGAAGGATTGGGCCTCCAGCAACCTCACTTGTTGTTTTACGCCGGTTTTCTGCGAGGCCGTGGCATCACTCCGGTCGAGCGAAGTTAATCAACTACACTTATTCTTTCGGCTTAGGTCGTAAGCTGACTATTATATATTATTATTATTTATTATGTATATTTAGTGTTTATTATTTTTTATGCATAATATTTATCAAAATAAAAGTTTAGAGATCCTCACACTGCAAAAACAAAACACAATTGCCAACATTATTTGCACTGTTCATATGAACAGAAATGCAGCCTAAGATATAGACAAAATTTTGAATGAAGTATTAAATATATAATTAGAGGCCTCGGCCTGGGCCTGAACCAGGAGAGAAAACCTGGTGGTTTTTAGTCAGCAACAATCTGACTCCTCATTTCGCTCTGCCCAGGATAAGAGAAGCATTTGATGATTTCCTATCTTCTTTTCTATGGGATAACTCGGCAAACGTATTACCTGATGGTAAGCAATCGGTATCAGATATTTAAGGATTTGATCTTCAAACAAAGGCTACTTACGTTGTTTCCAACACGAAAACGGTATAAGCAGAGATACAGGTCTCTCATCTAACGTCACGAAAGACGTGATGACATTAAAATCAAAATCTATACATTCAATATACTTTACTAAGAAAACAAATGAAGCCAAAGTTAGAAATAAAATATGGACGTCCATGTTTCTGGAGGGTTCTGAAGCATGTATGTACGTAATGTTAGCAGGACAGGAGGTACATAAGAGGGCTATTATATAAACATTATCATTTAGTATGCAAGCGCGCTTCTTGTAACCAATGCTATCGAATTACAGTCAATGACAAAAGTGTTTTGGTAGGGTTGACTGACTTACACCCGGTTTCTGAAAGGCTTGTCAACGCTAAAATTAACTAATCTCCTGTTAAATCTCTTGTCAAGTCATCTGATTGGTTGTTGATAATTCAGTCAACCAATCAGATGACTTGACAAGAAATTAAATTGATTTTAACATTGATCAGCCTTTCGGAAACAGAGTGATAGTATTCCTTCCCTATTTAAAATTTAAATACAAAGAACATAACCTAATTTAAAAATTAGGAGAATTACGAGTATAAGTTTTAGTGTACAGGGCATTTTGAACGAGGGACATATCCAAGGAGCCGATTTTGGTGATCAATTACAACAACTTTTTCTATGAGACCAATCCAAATCCAAACGTCAAAAGTAAACAAATTGTAACAGCTGATTGATCATTTTGCATGGAGAAGTAAATTTCTTTTTGATATTAAGTGTAGGGGAGTCATTCTTTGTCACGAATGAGTCGGCTCAAAAGTTCAAAGTTTATATATGTACTTTATTATACGTCAACAGTAAAAAATAAAAGGAAAAAACATATTAAGTAAATATTTTATTTATTTAACGTGTTTATCCCTTTATATTTCTGCAAAATCTATGCAAAAAATATACCTGGGTAAAACATAATGATCTCACTACTTGCGTATGTTTTAATATTGTAATTTAATTAATTATTATTAAAACATTCGTCATCGCCATTAGCATGCATCAGTACATAGTATAAAACAAAGTCGCTTTCTTTGTCACTATATCCGTATGTACATATTATGCTAAAATCTTTAAAACTACGCAACGGATAGAGTGATTGAAGAGTAAGGTTTATACATATTTATAACTAGCTACGCTCGCGCGGTTTCACCCGCTACACAGCTCCATTTGATCGTAGCATGATGTCTTATAGCCTATATCACTCAAGAATATTGTAATTATCTATCAGTGAAATAATTTTGGCAATCCGACCATCGCGCAGCGGTTCCAAAGATTACCGCCTACATACAAACTTACAAATTTTACCTCTTTATAATATTAGTATAGATAACATCTATTAATTAAATAGTGGAGATATTTAGTATCAGCTTTGTCCCCGTGCGAAGCCGGGGCGGGTCGCTAGTACTTAATAAACTATTCGGCGTTTGTCTGTGACTGTACAAGTTCAGTGATACAAAATTATATGGTCGTTCTAATGATAGGTTGTAGTTGAGAATTATCATAATATTTCACATCAGTACCACATTATAATACGGTTAACTCGTAAAGTATAGGGTACGAATACAGCATTATTTCAAAGCTTATTTAATTAAATAATGATGTTTATTGTGGCCCTTCTTAACGAACAACTATGGCACACGATCACAATATTAAAGGTTATAAGAAAAACTAAATTGGAAGCAAACACATAGAAAGGATCGCTTGATAACCAATCAGCGCCCCTCAAAAGAAGACGATCGGTAATTACTCGCGTAAAAACACAAGGAATCACTTTTCTTACATTTTGCCTTGTTTCACGCCGGTCGTAGTATCATTCCGGTCGAGCTGGCAAGTCAAAACTTTTATACCTACTTAGTTAAAAATGAATATTTAATGAAATATACCACCACCCTGACGGCTAGGCCGGAGTGATACCACGGCCTCACAGAAAACCGGCGTGAAACAACCACAGCGTTGTGTTTCGCCGTGTGTGTGAGGTTAACGGAGGTCCAATCCTTCCCGTGCCAAAACCTCCAAAACTCTAATCCCCAAAAGGTTGGCAACGCACTCGTCACTCCTCCGTTGTTGCGGGTGTCCATAGGCGGCGCTTATTGCTTAGCAGGCTCGTTTGTAGTCATATCACATAAAAAAATAGTTAATACTGTTGGCAACAGAATCAATTCTTTTAGGGCAAAACAAACATATTATATAACTCTTTAGGTACCTTTATCCAAAATATGTATCGACACACATCCCAATATAAAGACCCGGTTTCTCGCATTTCATTAAATAATATTATGATGGTTGCTTTAAAATTATCATAGAAATGGTAAATGTTATTGACAAATTTATAAGAACGAGTTTGATTTGAAGTGTTTTGTTTTCTATATCTCGTTTGGTTTCAAAGGAAAAAAGTCACTTATGTTAATTTATAAGAAACTAGCTCTTACCCGCGGCGTCGCTCCCGTCATTTGTCTACCTACCCTAGTCTACTTACCCTACCTACCCTACTTTACCTACCCTACTATAACTACCCTACTCTACCTACCCTAGTCTTCCTACCCTACTCTAGTCTACCTACCCTAGTCTACCTACCCTACTCTACCTACCCTACTCTACCTACCCTACTCTACCTACCCTACTCTAGTCTACCTACCCTAGTCTACCTACCCTAGTCTACTTACCCTACTCTACCTACCCTACTCTACCTACCCTACTCTTCCTACCCTACTCTACCTACCCTACTCTACCTACCCTATTCTACCTACCCTACTCTACCTAACCTACTCTACCTACCCTACTCTACCTAACCTACTATCCTATGTCCTTCTCCTGGCTCTAAACTACCTCCCTGCCAATTTTCAGCTAAATCGGTTCAGTCGTTCTCGAGTTATAAGTGGTGTAACTAACACGACTTTCTTTTATACATATATATAAGATAACGAGTGTATTAGAAAAAGATTAATTAAAAAAAATCAAACAGTACATTGACGTTAACAGTCTGTGAGATTTCATAATAATATTATTTTCTTTTTAAAATAAATATTAAAATAATATTTAAGTACTTTAAACAGTAGGTAACAGATAAAAAAATCGAGATAAATACAAAGAAAATGTATTATTAAATCTACTTAAATATTAGGTAGATAAGTATTATTATAGTCAGAATCGCGGGGAGTAAAGGATGCAGGCGACAACTTGTCATTTGACTTGGAGGATTAAAGGGGAGGCCTTTGTCCAGTAGCGAACGTCTTCCGGCTAATTATAGAGTATTATTACGGTAAAAATAATACTTAATACTAACTTAACAACCGGGGATTATCCTTGGGTGCACTTCCATAGTGCATACAGGGATAAATTGCCGGCTGATGTCCCATTTCACTTAAATTAAAGTTGTTCAACGGGCTTCTGCGAGTTGGCTTCGGACCCTCGTACGCCTTCCAAAGGTCCGGGATCCTGTGATCCCATGAACGGAAACGAAATACTAATACTTAATAATAATACCTAATCTACCGATCAAATCTCCGATAAAAATCAAACAATTTGTCAGCAAAATACTAATAGCTAACTAGTCAAGTCAAGTGTCTAGTCAGACAGAATTCTAGGCGTATTTCTAGTCTTAGTGAAGTGATTAATAGATTCCTTAGTGTTTAACTCAGTGGGGCATTCAGCCGGCCATAATAGTAATGGGCAATCACAGAGTATACATATGTGGAAAAATATTATGTTGTAATTAGCCATGTATTGAGTTTTTTATGGAATTATAGTATTTATTCACGTGTGTACCTACGTGGCTACACATTTTATTAGTATTCATCATCATCATCAGCCTATATATCTACTGCTGAGCCTGTTCTCATATTGAGAAAGCATAAACATTGGAAGTTAATCAACACGCTTGCTTAAGGCGGATTCACATTATCAGTCTATAAGTGCCTAGGTACTAATGAGTAAAGGCTTACACAGAGAAGATTTGATCATTTATCACCACGTGTGCCCAAGGTGAATAGGCGATTTTAAACTTAAAATAATAAAAAGTATAAAAACTAAAACCTAACTACATATGTATATACATACATACATATCCACATACATACATAGCCTATCAAAATCATAATCCTCCTTTTGCTTTGCCGTAGTCGGGTAATAAAATAGAAATAATAAGACCATTCCTTGCGATGTTTTCTTGACTGTACCTTGAAATAGTAGAGCTTTTCTCAGTTTCTTCTCGTTGTTTTATTAAATCTTAGAAAGTAAATGTATCTCAGATATATGATACTCAAATTGGTACTTGCTAGGTTTCTAGACCCACCCTTGTGAATGAGAGGCAGGCGCCTTAATTTCCGGACCACAACAAGCTATATGGATGCGTTCGAATATTGCCAAGTCGGGAAAAAATATCATGGCCGTTCCATCCTTTTCTCAAAGCGGTAAATTATTATTTATTTCTTTACATTTAAATTAGGAACATTTAAAGTATGAAAACAAGAGAGGGCAACATTTATAAAGTGTGGCAGAGCCATAGCAGCACGAATGGGTCAGCTCGACCGGAGTGATACCACGGCCCCACAGAAAACCGGCGTGAAACAACCACAGCGTTGTGTTTCGCCGTGTGAGTGAGGTTACCGGACGCCCAATCCTTCCCCCCCCCCCTCGATCCCTCTCCAATCCCGAAATCTCCGAAACCTAAAAGGTCAGCAACGCACTCGCAACTCCTTTGCTGCGGTTGTCCATATGGGCGGCGTGATTGCCTACCATCAGGTAATTCGCCTGCTCGTTTGCCGACCTATTACAAAAAAAAAACATGTGCGAACTCAACTTTTCTATGTAGGTACCAAGAAATTAATATGAATATGAATATGAATATGAAATTATAAGGAAAAATATACTTAAAACATCTTTATTCTTAAAAGTTCCATTCTTAATAAATAAATTATTAAAACACAAAATAACTGGATCACGGTGACCATGGCCCAAAACCCTTTGAGGATAAAGTATCAGAAACATTACGCGCCAAAAAATGAGTCAGCCATTTTGAATTCTCAGAACTCTACACACGACGTGGGTTTTAAACGACAACGTTTTGATAGTAACTTTGTACTTTGTGGCGATATATATAGAATTTAAAATTGCGTAATCTGTTATGTAATGGATGGTTGAAAGAGATAATGATTGGGGAGTTATTTTAATGGTATATTTCAGTTCAATTTAAATTAATTGAGAAGGTTTTTGTATGTGGATGATCTCTTCTAAGAATGATTCTTATTACTTTGTACGTGTGTAGTGTAGTTAGCAGCATAGGCAGAAAGAAATTCACCGTAGGTCATGTTGTTTTGTGAATTAAAATTATAAAAACTATCAAGAATGATAAGAGTATTATGTAATAGGATGCCACAGCGCCGTATCAAAAAGCTTGCCGAACAATTATAAATTCGTTTGATATAAAATACTAATTGATAATTTGGAAAACTCCAACAAAATGGAAGATGTATTCAATCACAAAGATGTACTTAATCAAATCAAAATGTTAACGTGTGTTGTTTGAAGTATCCTTGTTTGCAACTAATTAAATTATAAATTCATTTTGATGGGAAAGAAAAAAAACTAAACATAATTAATTTATTTGCTATATGTCTGTGACAAAGTTACAAAAGTACAAATAAAAAAGAACAGCATTAAAATAAAAAATAAAATTATACCTACGACAAAACAGCGCAAAGTGTTCAGCAAAATTTGTTTTTTTTTTATATATTTAAAATGTTGTGACCCGGGTAAGGTCGTGGTGGCCCCGAGGTTACGGCGCCCGCTTCTCAAGCATGAGGGTGTGGGTTCGAAACCTGGTAACTACCAACGTGACTTTTTCCGAGTTATACGTACTTTCTATGATTATTTAGACACCACTGACATACGGTGAAGGTAAACATCGTGAAGAAACCTGGATTATAATTTCTAATAAATTTGAAATTGCCAACCCGCATTAAGCAAGCGTGGTGATTAATGCTCAAACCTTCTTTATGTGAGAAGAGGCCTTTGCTCAGCAGTAGGCACTTATAGGCTAATGATGATGATGACCCGGGTACAACACTATCCATATTTATTTGTAATAATTAATAATTACAAACAATTTTTGAAGAGAACGTTGACGTTTAAAAAAAATGCCAAAACTATTAATTTTTACTCACTAATACTGTCCATATTTAATTTTATTATTTTTCTTTAAATTTCAATGAGTGGAAATTAATATGATGTCACACGCACTTGGGTCTGTCAGAAGATGTCGAGGTGTCTTCGGTAGACACTGGACTCAAAAAATAATATTTATTTTAAAACAAGTTTTTATTTATTTATAACGAAATGAAATGAAAGGAATGTTTTGTTATTAAAATTATGATCTTTAAATTTAATACAAAAATAAACTGTAACCCAATTGACATAACAGTATCTAAGTGTGTATAAAATGTAAGGCATTATTACGCTTAAAAAACAACTGACAATAGTTCGTGCAACAGGAATTATCCTTTAATTAATTTTAAATATGGCTATCCTATTCCTGCAAACCTCCCTCGATTCCCTAAGTGTGTCAAGAACATGCATCCAGTTCCTACGAACATAACTCATATTCACACACAGTAATAACAGTGCAAGGGTTTCTGAGAATACATTTAAACAAATGACTTACTATTTATTGCCCTTAATTGAACTTGTCTCTTTGCTGATAATGGCTATATAAGCTAGAAAAAGTATTTTATAGAATAAAAGGTAAATGGGCAAATTACCTAATGGTAAGTTATCAGCGCTCTGCCTATGGACATCTGCAACACAAGAGAAGTCACTAGTGCATTATGGACCTTTTAAGAAGGATTACGCAAGGAGTATTTTTTTCTTGAGACACAGTTGAAGAACAATATCTGCGCTAATGCTAGCGTTCGATTGGGGTTTGGTAAAATGTGATAACTGCCGTTCTCAGACACATAAAGATATTAGAAATTAATTAAACACTTCCTAATCTAAATATTGTGGTTTGATGGCTATGTCTAAAATCAGGAAAAAGTTTTTTTTTTTAAATAATGGAAAAATTATAATTGAAAATTGGGAAAAAGCAACCTCTTGGCAGTTTGTTAATAAAACCAATCAAAAGCGCTCTGAGGTAGTTGGACATCCGTAGGAAGCACGAACGGACCGCTAGTTTTGTTTATATTTATCATTACTTGACCCTCATTTCGTACAGTGGTTTTCCTCACGCGTTACTACTCACTGTCTAAGTATTTTAAACCAACCAATCCAAACCATTATCACCTTTACATAATGCGTATTTTAGATCTAAAATGACGTGTATGCCAATCCTTACACGCTTTGTAATTCAATAGCAATTCTATAGTTCGCTAATAAAGTTAACAATCGATTGAACGTTTATATTCAAAAGGTGTTATTATGGTGAATTAATGAATCGTAATGGCATACTTATCTGATATCGTAGTACCCATATTATCTAATAATATTTCTCATTGTTCTGCCTAGCTATTAAGAAAACCAAGATTTATAGCGAAATTGCTTACAAGTTGTCCTAAGTATGTCTTCCTTTTTTTATATGATAGGAAGGTAAACATCAAACGAGTACCTGCCCAAAAAAAATTACCTGATGGTAAGCAATCGGCGCCGCCTTTTAGGAAGGAGGATTAGGGGATTTAGGGTTTGGGAATGGGGAGAGGGGGAGTAAAGATTGGGCCTCCGTTCTTAAGGCGTTATGCAACACGAGAGTTGAATAATGACCGTTTTCCTTTATAGAAACTTTATTTTTATTCATAACTAGCTACTCCCACACGGTTTCACTCGCTGCTCGGCTCCATTTGATTGTAGCGTGATGTTTTATAGCCTATAGCACTCGTAAACATTGTAGCTATCAAAAAATGAAACAATTTTGGGAATCCAATCAGTGGTTCCAAAGATTACCCCCTACATACAAACTTACAAATTTTACCCCTTTATAATATTATATATAAATACATAGGTATATATATAAAAAAAAACATCATCGAACTTTACCTACTTAAACCTAATGACGTCACAATCTGACAATCGTTTTCCTTTATAGAAACTTTATCTTTATATATCCATATGCAAAAAAAAACAAAACGTCATCGAACTGTACCTTACCTAAACCTAATGACGTCACAATCTCACAATCCTAGCGTCGCAAGCACAGATGTAAATAGCGTATCAGCACATTGAACGTCAAGTACTTGGGACTTTTTGTACTTGTTTTTGTAGTACCGTGGTTAAATCATCATCGTTGATTCCTTTGAATGACTGATGATGGTACGCGGATCTGCGCACACGCATTGTGACTAAGACACCGAGATATACATACCTACTCAGTATTAGTAATGCGTTAACAAAGAAATTGGCCGAACATACTTTATGGCTATTAATAAAAGGGCTGTGAATCATACTGATTGCCTAGCTCGAATGTTTTGCATGGTGTAACGTTGAATAAATATTAATAAATTGCAGTAAATATTTTTTTTTATTTAATAATAATATTGTTAAACTTAACGTAGTGTGTTATCTGTTTTCCTCGAGATTGACGTAATTAAGAAAAGCTCTTCAATTAACTTCAGGAGTGTCAGACTCCTAATCAATAGAAACCAACCAAGATCAAGTATTTTTCTTGAAGTACTCTAGAAGTATAGTAATATTACTCTTACTACCAGTAGTAGGTTCTTCTACGATGGAGTTTCTTGCTCGTTCTTCTCCATTTCAATCTACCATTTGGAATGAGCATCTAGCTTCACTGACGAACAAACTGACAGACTACTCTATTATGACGTTTCAAAAGCACCTATTTATGGTTTAGTTGGAATAAATGATTTTGACTTTGACTTTACTAGTAATGAGGATCGCGACGCGACGTCGCCACAACGCGCACGCTGCACATAAATAAGAGTCCCGTTGTGATTTGAAACGAGTAGAGCTCTTTTCAGTTAAGTAACATTCAGTAAAAAAGAAAACATATTACGTTTTATAGACATATTTCTGTATAACTATATTATACAGAAATATGTAATATGTTTTCTTTATATGTCTAACGTAATATGTCGATAAATAAGTATAGTATAATTGCTTACAAAATTCGGAAAACGAATTAAACAAAACGCGTACCTTGTTGATTAATTCAACTTGCGTACTCTAGATTAGCGAAACATTATATGTATTAATAAAGTTTGTGTTAGATATGGTATATGCGTGAGTTTATCTAGCTCTAGTGAACGGAAACTGTCTAGATATGAAATATTAAAAATTGTTTTAAAAATTGCTACTATCAACGAGTTCATTGCCAAAATAATAGGCATATACATATGAATATGATATTTTCATGTTAGAAGTGTGGGAGAGCCATGCTTCGGCACGAATGGGTCGGCTCGACTGAAGTACACGGCCTCATAAAAAACCGGCTTGAGACAACCACAGCGTTGTGTTTCGCAGTGCAATCCGTCCCCTCCTCAAATACCACTCCGTTTCTTCTCCTGTCCCAGCCCGAGGCACCGTTTTGCGCTAGCCCCCAACCCCGACTGAACATCGGTCCTAACTAACTCATACCTAATCACCTCATACACCGTCATTTGACGATTATTGATTAGGTATATAACGCAGAACTTAGTAATAGTTTTCAGAACAAAATCGTTCTTTTAGTATAGTTTAGATTATCATATTTTAATCTTTCTGCCTCGATCAGTCATCTGCATAGATACTGACAACGATAATCTACGTGTAGTCAATATATCTAAT